TTCCCAGCAGTGGAATTGCTGGATCATATGGTAGTTCTATTTTTAATTTTTTAAGGAAACTCCATACTGTTTTCCATAGTGGCTGTACCAATTTATATTCCCACCAACAGTGTACAGAGTTCCCTTTTTTCCACATCCTTGCCAACATTTATTATTTGTTGTCTTTTTGATTATATCCATTCTGACAAGTATGAGGTGATAGCTCATTGTTGTTTTGATTTGCTCATCCCTGATGAATAGTAACAGTGCAGAAAAACAAAGGATCATGAGAGATTACTACAGGTGACTATATGCCAATAAAGTGGACAACCTGGAAGAAATGGGCAAATTCGTAGAAAAGCACAACCTTCTGAGACTGAACCAGGATGAAATAGAAAATATAAACAAACCAATCACAAGCACTGAAACTGAAACTAATTAAAAATCTTCCAACAAACAGAAGCCCAGGACCAGATGGCTTCACAGGCGAATTCTATCAAACATTTAGAGAAGAGCTAACACCTATCCTTCTCACTCTTCCAAAATATAGCAGATGAACACTCCCAAACTCATTCTACAAAGCCACCATCACCCTGATACCAAAACCAGACAAGATATCACAAAGAAAGAAAACTACAGGCCAACATCACTGGTGAACAAAGATGCAAAAATCCTCAACAAAATACTAGCAAACAGAATCCAACAGCACATTAAAAGGATCATACATCATGATCAAGTGGGGTTTATCCCAGGAATGCAAGTATTCTTCAATATATGCAAATCAAACAATGTGATACACTATATTAACAAACTGAAGGAGAAAGACCATATGTTCATCTCAATAGATGCAGAAAAAGCTTTTGACAAAATTCAGCACCCATTTATGTTAAAAACTCTCCAGAAAGTAGGCATAGAGGGAACTTGCCTCAACATAATAGAGGCCCTATATGACAAACCGACAGCCAACATCGTTCTCAATGGTGAAAAGCTGAAACCATTTCCACTAAGATCAGGAACAAGACAAGGTTGCCCACTCTCACCACTATTTTTCAACATAGTTTTGGAAGTTTTAGCCACAGCAATCAGAGAAGAAAAAGAAATAAAAGGAATCCAAATTGGAAAAGAAGTAAAGCTGTCACTGTTTGCAGATGACATGATACTATACACAGAGAATCCTAAAGATGCTACCAACAAACTACTAGAGCTAATCAATGAATTTGGTAAAGTAGCAGGACACAAAATTAATGCACAGAAATCTCTTGCATTCCTATACACTAATAATGAAAAATCTGAAACAGAAATTAAGGAAACACTCCCATTTAACACTGCAACAAAAAGAATAAAATACCTAATAAAATAAACTTACCTAAGGAGACAAAAGACCTGTATGCAGAAAACTGTAAGACACTGATGAAAGAAATTAAAGATGATACAAACAGCTGGAGAGATATACCGTGTTCTTGGGGAAGAATCAACATTGTGAAAATGACTCTACTACCCAAAGCAATCTACAGATTCAATGCAATCCCTATCAAACTACCACTGGCATTTTCACAGAACTAGAACAGAAAATTTCACAATTTGTGTGGAAACACAAAAAACCCAAATAGCCAAAGTAATCTTAAGAAAAATGGAGTTGGAGGAATCAGGCTCCCTGACTTCAGACTATACTACAAAGCTACAGTAATCAAGACAGTATGGTAATGGCACAAAAACAGATATATAGATCAATGGAACAGGATAGAAAGCCCAGTGATAAACCCACGCACATATGATCATATGATCACCTTATCTTTGATAAAGGAGGCAAGAATATACAATGGAGAAAAGACAGCCTCTTCAATAAGTGGTTCTGGGAAAACTGGACAACTACATGTAAAAGAATGAAATTAGAACACTTCCTAACACCACACTCAAAAATAAACTCAAAATGGATTAAAGACCCAAATGTAAGGCCAGACACTATGAAACTCTTAAGAGGAAGACATAGGAAGAACATTCCATGACATAAATCACAGCAAGATTCTTTTTGACCCACCTCCTAGAGAAATGGAAATAAAAACAAAAATAAACACATGGGACTTAAAAGCTTTTGCACAGCAAAGGAAACCATAAACAAGATGAAAAGACAACCCACAGAATGGGAGAAAATATTTGCAAACAAAGCAGCTGCAGAGCACAGGGAGATCAGCTCGGTGCTTTGTGACCACCTAGAGGGGTGGGATAGGGAGGGTGGGAGGGGGACGCAAGAGGGAGGGTATATGGGGATATATGTATACATATAGCTGATTCACTTTGTTATACAGCAGAAACTAACATAACGTTGTAAAGCAATTATATTCCAATAAAGATATTTCAAACAAAAAAGAAAACATGGGGTATAACACTGAAATAACCAAGTAATTCCCTGCTTCCTACGTTCATCTGAAGTATATTGGAAAAAAGCATATGTAGTCATAATGATGATTTCACAAGTCAGCTAGTCATCGTTAATGCACCCTAAAGACAACTGCGCTCTAATTTGTTTTTGGCATTTTTTTTTAATGTCCTAGACACAAGTGATATGTTTAAATTCTTTTTACAAATGTAGGTAATCAAATCATTGGCTTCACACAGACAACAGTTCACACCTCCACCCAACTACCACTATCACAGCAATTAAACAGGACAAATTGGGAGACTGAAGTTGAGTTTAAAACACCACCACAAGTAAAAATAAAATCACACTTAACACTCATTTTAGGAGATGAAAAGTTTACTTAGAAATTGCAAACATTTAGCAAAGACAAGACATAAACACTATTTTCCATATTCTACAGAAATACAATAATTTATAGCTGGCTTGGTACATGGTCACATGATAAAAACAAATATAATGGGAAAAAAAAGTTCATTCTACTTTTCTGCCACTTATTACAACTTAATATGTATACCAGTAAGTACTGGAGGATAGCTGCATAGGCAGATTAGAATCCGAGGGCTGTTTGTTAATACATATTATTGTACTATAACAATAATATAAAAACAAAATAGGTACAGATATATAATTAACATGCAATTTAAGCTATTATTTTGAAGAAACAGGACAGAATTTAGTGAACACATTGAAAAATGTGTTGTTAATAATATGTTGTTATAATCAGCATATCATGGTATTTTACATGCACAGAAATCCTTCCTTCTTAAATAATGCTTGGCAAATTGAAACTGGTTGACCCTACTTCTAGAGAAAATTTTAAATGAAGACAAAAAAACGAGTGGACAATTCTGTTCGATGCTTTTCTAAGTATACTAAATAATTTTTAAAGTACCATAATTTCATGCCTACCTCACCACCTCCAATTTAAAGTAAAGCCATACTTTGTATTCTATGAATCTACACTGTCCAGTATAGCAGCCCTCATCCACAAGTGGCTTTTTGAGTATTTAAAATGTAGCTAGTCAGAACTGAGATGCACATGAGTGCAAAATACACGCTGAATTTTGAGGACTTACTATGGAGAAAAAAGAAGGTAAAACACCTCTATTTTGTATATTGATTACATACCTAAAAGATAACATTTTTAATATATTGGGTTAATTAAAATATTAATTTTATGTGTTTCTTTTTTTAATGTGGCTACTAGAGAATTTTAAATTACATATGTGGCTCACATTTATTTCTACTGGATAGCACTGATACAGATGTCTATAGTCATTATATCAGCCTTAGCACTTAGCATCACATTTAAAGCGCTCTGGAATACTAACTCTCAGAACACCGTAAACACACTCTGTATGTACGTTATTGCAAAATTTATTTTTATGCCTCTGCAATTACACATTTTAAGTGTAAAAAGAATTCACAAAATATTTAATCCTTAAAAAACGTCAACTAGAATATGGTTAGAGCTAAAGGAAATTCAATGCAGACTGTTATATTGGGGGAAAATAGTTTAATAGTGAAGACAATTAGTATCTTCAGTAAAATAAGTTAGCCAAACTTATCTTTAATGCCCAGGATCTGACCTTGCACCACAGATCATACATGTAACTTGTCCATTTAACCATAACCTAAAAGAAAATCTTAAAACAACACTGATTGCAACCTACTTAAATGCTCCATTTTCTGGAGAATCTTCAAGCAATGTAAATTAACACACATAACGGATTCTAATAGCAGAATATAGTAGCTAAGAACTATCCCTTAAAGTCCCTCAGTGTTAAAGTAAGCAACTACCTAGTGTCCAAGAGACGTGGATTGAAAAAAAGGTTTTTAGAAGCTATTAAAAAAAAAAGATCATTGCTCTTTTATCATTTTCTTCCCCTCCTCCTTTTTTAGTTTTTTTGTAGTAGAGGATATAAATATTTGGTATATTCATAATACCTCATCTTTTATTTTGTCCAACTCAAAAAACAAGTTAACCTAGTACATACTCCATTATTTTCCTAGGAACAACAAGCACCAAGATACAATACCAACAGTGGTGACCTCAGTCAGAAGCCAGCGTCATAGCCATGCATCAAGAACCTCGCCAGGAGGCAATGCCTAAATACGCTTGTGCTGCACACGCTGCTTCTCACAGCTCAGGTTGGAATGCTTGTTTTTAAACTGTTTAAATCTGTTTGCATTAGGTAAAGTCTGTCAAAAATGCTCTGAAAGCCACAAATTAATAGACTCTGAAACGACTATATTATTCATAAAAATTTCTCCTTCATTTTGAACATGTTCTCAAAAAACAAGTAGAAGTTATTTAATATAACTTCATACCTTACCATGACTACTTCCCCCCCCCTCCCCCGGTATGCGGGCCTCTCACTGTTGTGGCCTCTCCCTTTGCGGAGCACAGGCTCTGGACGTGCAGGCTCAGCGGCCATGGCTCACGGGCCCAGCCGCTCCGCGGCATATGGGATCTTCCCAGACCCGGGCACGAACCCGTGTCCCCTGCATCGGCAGGCGGACTCTCAACCACTGCGCCACCAGGGAAGCCCATGACTACTTTTAAGACACTGGAAAGTAACCAAGATTTAGGGAGAAATAAACAGTACCTATACTAGATAATACTAGATATACCAATGATTGCAGAAGACTACAGCAGTTCTCTCTAGAGTTCAGCAGCCTATTAAGACATTTAATCACATTTATGAATGTGCCTTGCACAAAGAGATACTACTTAAACTTTTCACATCTCCTGTCTTCAGACCATTTCTACATAAACAGCATTTTTATTACACGTTACTAACTCCAACCTAAATAAGCCTAATAATTCATGTCAAATGAGAAAATTTTTCAGTTTCAAACATATATTACTCTAAAAATATACTCCTCAATGAAAAGATGACAACAGTCTCCTTTCTGAAAGCTGTTACTTTGATGTTAGATTAATAATCAACTAAATATTTATTAAGCACCTACTATGATTGCATTCAGCCTATACTCATTCTTCAACCAACAAGAAAAAAAATATCTGCTCCAAATGCAAAATGACATTTGTGAGGGAGGATAACATATTAGCATTTCTAACAGAATGCTGTATGAGTCAATAACTGGACATGTGAAATTGTTCATCCCTATGACACTGAAAAACCTCAAATTTATTACTGATCACTTTATAAAGATAAATAAACATTTGAAGTATGCTGCATAGTACTTTGAGGAAAGTGACTGCCATACTTTAAATTAAGGCTGATTCCCTAAAGGTATGGAAGAAAAGTCAAAATGTCATGGTTCGCAAGCAACCGAAGACTTACTATAAACAGTTTACAGCAACATCTGGTTAATTCAAGCAAATGGGCACTTGTGTTAGGTTTCCAACTTTGCTTGAGGGGGCTGGTCTAATAAAGAAAACTGCCTTTAAACAGAAGCACTTCAAGCAAGTATGAAAATAAAAGTCCTTTGGATAAAATTCTTTGTAAAACCAGTATATAAGTTGAAATTCCAAATCTCATTTAAATATATATACATATATGTGAATACACACACATATGTATGCCTTAAAAGTATCTAAATTGCACTTACAATGCTGTACAGCTGTATATCTTTGCCTTGTATGTTTGAACCTGATTATGTATCTTCAGCACAATACTGTATTTCTCCTGAAGTTAAGAATGTGGACAACGATGATAAGACAGAGATAAATAAGCTAGTTTCAACTTTCTAGCCTTTAACAATTCTGACCTGTTGAATTCCTACAAGGTGCAAGGCTTTATGCAACATACGGAACGTGTACAAGATCTGACACAAAGCACTCTTTCAGGGAAACTGAAGTTTTAAGAAGCAAAAGAGTTGTCAGTTTGAAAACCAACAGTAATCACTTTCTCAATAGAATTTCTAAAAACTGAGATTGATGTCAACTAAAGCACTCCTACCTCTGCAAAACATGGAAAATAATGCAATACAGAAGCCATTTCCGTAGAAGACACGTGTAAGAGAACATTCATAATAGAACCACAGGGATTGAAGCAGTGAGATGAACAATGAGGCAGTCACAGAGCTACTGCACTGGTAGTAGTTTATAAAAAATACTATCTATACTAAAATTTTAAGAGCTAGTAATATACTTAGCATATTTTTGCCTTTTTTTGGCCACTGAATATAAAATTTTATCCTAAATTTACTAAATCTCCTACACCCTGAGAAATAATAACAGATTAATAAAAAGAAATGCCAGGGTTAGCTTTGTGGACCATATTATTGTCCAGAAAGCACAAGCTATATATAGCTAATATTCTTGGAAGCACAAGATTTCATCAGCAGAGTAAGCTGCTGCTCTCTATTTTTTTTTTTCTTTTTTTAAGTAAAGGGTTGGTTTTACAGTGTTAACATGGCCTAGTGAGAATACAGAAGTCAAAGTTGGGAGCCTGAAGTCCCTACCCCCCAGATCCACAACTGACACAACAGTTTTCTGTTTCCACTATGAACATGACCTATTGCTGTCCGTTAGGAATACATTATTCGACAGTTCTCCGAAAAGCACTTTGGAATCTTAAGCTATATATTTTAATGAAATTACAATTAACAATTATTGGCTATCTGGAAATATGGAACTCCTATCCCTCCCCTCTCCATACCCAAATACATAAAAAGCCACATTTTAAATTTCATCTCAGTATTTGCCTCTTTTCCTCCAATATTTGAAAAGATTAAGGTTCCATTTTCCCCCCCACTCAACTATCTTACGTAGGACTAAATTTGGGATGGGGTTCTTAAAAGTCCTTAAGATGAGGCAAAGGATTCATTTAGGACAACTGTATGGCGCTTCTTTTAGGGCAGAGGGCCACTGTTTCCCTTTAAACATGGGCTGCACAGGTTTTTGGCTGATCTTTATGCATATGCCGTCCTCTAAATGTGAGGCCTCCAACCCCAAAAACATTAGTTGTCACTGAGAAAGAACTAATTCTTCCTGGTAGGGTGCTTAAAAATGATAACTAATGACATGCAAACCAAAGCATCCTTCCTGCTCTTATCAGTAACTCACTTAAGGATAAAATATTCCATTGGGCCATGCCTAGCAAGTGGAATAAATAAAATAATGAGTCAATCAACTGTTTAATAAAATTTTCATCCTTTGTTTTCTACCTAAATGTTAGACTTAAATATAATCTTGCTCCCCCAAAAAGAAAGGCACTCGAATGAACACAGTATATACAGTTATTTTTTAAAAGACACTGTGTGATGGTAAGGAGAATTCTCAGGGTTGATTTTTCCTGCTCACTGCCTTTATAACACTGAATTTGCCTATGCTTTCCTGTGCCTCCATGAACTTCTCTAATAAAAAGGAGCACATTACAGAGTATACTCAAGTACAGGGAGGCGGCAGCACGTAAAGTGCTAGGGTTTGCACAGTTCTTTTTGAGAAATTTACTTAGAAGACAAAAAGTTCAGTTGTTACAATGCTGCTCAAATTTTCTAGCATACTTTAGATATTTTAAAGTTTTAAAATATAATTTTCTAGTAACAAAATAACTAAGCTCACAAAAGCTTTTTGCAAAAACAAAAGTGTTTCTTACTTCCTTTGATAAACTAAATATTTAGCATCTTCTCTAATACAGGGGAACTAAGGTAGAAATGAGATTGCTGCATAGCAAGTGGTAGTTGCATTCCTAAATTATATTTAGCCCTCATGTCAGATACCATCTTGTGCTATTAAGAGAAAAATACTAGGCTGACAATTTGTTCTCAAAAATATTAAAAGTTTTTACACACATGTAGGTATGTGTCTAAATAAGCATGAATTCACATGACCTGAATATATCTAAATGACACAGCCTACCACCATATATGCTTTCCTACAAAATGCCACATGAAAATCCAAGAACTTTTGTTTGCACATCTTGTGTTACATAAGCCCTTATCTGAAGACTTAAGTGGCTTTGAGTGACCTCCTGTATATTTAATCCGATAAATAATGAAGCCTTTAATTTAAATTAGAATTGTACCATAGGAATAAGAGATATGACTCAAAAGTCTGGGCCCAGAGTTTTCAAAGAGGTAATAAAATGCTAAAACCTAGAAAAGAAAGGGTTTTGAGTCTAAAATGACTATTCATGCACAGATACAGATCAACACGTCTTTGAAATCAGTTTCCTCAGATACTCCAAGAGTGGCTATGGCTCTATTGGCAAGATCTGTCCTCCAACATCATAAGTGAATAGAAAGTAGTGTTCTTGCAAATGTTCTTCATTTTTCTATGAATTTTTAATATACATTATAGTACAGTTAATTGATATTATACAGCTGCATTTCTTGGCTGGGATTTAACAAGCATAAACAAAGTAGTTTAATGCAGGAAAAAAATCTAAATTAACTTATTCTATATGCAATAGCTCCCCCTAAGTATCATGAAGGCAGAGTACATCATTCATTCACAATCCATTGCTCTATTCCATCAATTTCTCAATCATAACTCACTCTATGTATCACTCATGATTGATCTTTCTCATCTTCAGTTAAATCATTCATAAATTTAATAAATATTTAATGAGTCCTTACAATGTGCAAGGCACACAGAATCTGGGAACACGTTACCAAAATAGGTACACTTAAAAAAAAAAAAAAAGTCAGGTTGGGGAGGGTAGTGGTAGAGATATTTACAGATCTTATTGCTTTTTTGCTTGTCAGTAGTATTCTTGATCCACAGGATGGCCTACAATTCTTCCAGTGAAAGATGGATGACATTTGTATCAATCTAAATCATCTTTTCCTTTAACAATGACATATTTATAGAAAAATAAGTGAAGACTAATGAGTCCCTAAAAATAGACACATCCTTTCCACTGCATGAGCTCATTCATTCCAAGAGATAATATCGTGCTACAGCTAGTGAGTTTAGATGTGAACCATTTAGGGAAAAAATACAACCATCCAGGGCAATACTAGGTTTTTCAGTGAATGAACACTTGAAAACTGCAAATTTTAGAAATAAAGCAGCACACAAAAGTCAGATATAAACAGTATCCTTTGGATATTTGTATTTTTACTCCCTACTTAAAGCTATTAGGAAGACAGGAGACCAAGATATATTAAAGGACTGCATGGCTTCATGTAAGGGTGGGTTAAGAGACTTAAAACACATGAAGGCAGTTAACATCAAAGAAGGGCAAGAGACTCTGTGGAAGGTATAAAAAGATGTGGAGCATTATCAAATTTAGCTGATGTTTCACAGAGGATTGTCTGTATTCATGTCTCAACACTCTCACATCAAAGCATAAGAAGCCCTACTACTTAATACTTAAAATGATGATACTTAAAATGATGCTTGGAAGAATGGTAATACTGAGTGAGGCCAGAATTTGGCAACATATATTAGTGGAATGTGCTAAATCTTCCATGTCATTTGTGTGTAGTCTGCCCCCCAAGCCCCACAGGTGCTAAAAATCATAAATTAATAGTTTTATCCATAGAGGTCTAGGTAGACCTTGAGGTATTTGAATCAAAATATGCTTTGTACACAAAGGGTCATAGATTTATGCTCATAATGCCAATCATTTTCTCACCTAAATACTATAAAAAGCTAAAAAAGGGTAAATTTTGCCCTAAGAGAGAAGGACAGGCAGCTTCTGTCTACAAGGACCAGTCTAGACAATTTTTTTGGTGTTCTTAAGTCTCACTTGACAGTTTGCCACTCAACAAAATCATGACATACAAGTAAAGGACCTATTCTTTTCCCTTAAAGAAATGCTCCTCACTCAAGTCCAGAGTCTCCGTAACAGTGGTATAGGAGAGGTCTGCTTTTCCCTACATCTGTCTTCTCACCCTACAGGTGACCTACCAAATAAAGAGGAAAACAGGCAAAGCATAGTGGTCACACTTGTTTCTGCCACTATTACATTTCAAACACACACAAGATAATAGACAACTTCCATCATTAGGGGAACTTTTAGAGGGGCAGTTCATATTCATATTGTGTGTGTGTGTATGTGTGCGTGTGTTTAATGGGGTATGGAATTAACTGGAAACAGAGAGGAGATTATGTTTAGTACACATCCATGAAATACAACAGATAAGGAAAAATATACAAAAGTGGAGATGACAAAAAAATGGAATGGGAAAATAAAGAGAAAGGTGTGTGGAAAGAAGAAATGCAAAGCATTCTTTCATATTAAGACATTAGACATTACCTGGAACTTTCCCCACACCTGCCTCACCTACCTAAAAAACCCAGCCCTTATTATTGAAAAGATAAGATACAGCTAAAAGGTGGATACTTTGGTACGTTGTCCCTGATAAATTTAGTATCAAAGTTTTTAAACTGTTTTATTTTTTAAAATAAAGACTGAAGAACTAACCTTCAAAACTATTCATCCCCCCTGGCTTTTGCCAGTAAACTTTTAATAATCACTTCACAAAAACTTTATAGTTTATCCAGTGTATCCTTAATAACTTAAATTTTAAAAAGGAAGATTTTTAATGGACACATTTCTATGCATAAGCTTCCCATTTTTCATGGTGAATCTGGAGGAAAGTAAGTAGTAATAACTAAAAACAGCATTCTAGGTTTTTTTAAAATTGATTTTAATTGAGGTAAAAACAACCTATCAAAGCTAGTAGTAAAAATAATTTTCTACTACAATTACATAAACTCTTAAAATTATTTTTTTAAAAAATAACCATTTTTAAAATGGACTATATTGGAAGCATGTTGTTCATATAAATTCCAATACTTCTGACTTTGGTTATGTTGGTCTATGACTTGAGTAGAACATACTAGAGAAAGAGAAATGGTGTGTATTTTCACACATCCATCCATCTGGCCATTTGATTCTCAAAACAACAATTAGATCAAGTAATTTTGAATTTGTATTGTTCTTAAGCTAAACTACAACATACATTTTTAATTTAAAAAAAAAAAAAACTAGCCTATGCAGCAACCACACTGAGGTGGGTTGAGGTGTGTGTGAACCAATCTGGAGAACCAAATGAGAAAAGCCTCAAGTACAGGAATATAAAGGATGAGAAGTTTAAAAGAAAAAAATTAAGACTCACTGTTCAGCAGGAAGGAACTACACAATTATTTTATCCCCAAAGGAATGCCAGTTCTTAACAAAATAAATAAAATGAAAGATTTACTATGGACTTTTAACCTAAAGATGAAGCACATATAGTTAGACAATAATAGCAAACAGTTCATGCAACTATGTAAATAAGAAAGGAAAGCAATATTGCACTAAAAGGGGAACCTTGCAGGACTAATCCACCTCTTTCATTGACTCAATGTAACCAGCCATTTCCTGTATGCATTGGCAAACCTGGCCTGCTCCACGTTCCGGCAGGTGGACAATACTTGATCGATGAACCTGTGCTCCATTTCCAGGCCCAGGGAGTCTGGAGCAGGGGTCCGCTTCAGGCGTTTGGTTTCCTGGGAATAGCCTTGCTTGCTAGAGTCACTGAGTCCATCCACCTCCATTGCCTGAGATGTATGCGGTCCTGCTGGGATGAGGTGCAAGTCACTCAAAGTCCCCCCTGGGCTGTCTGCAGGTGACAACTGGACCACGCTGTGAGGAAACCTACCATTTAAGTGATGCTGAAGGTAGAAAACATGCCGCCTGTGAAAGAGGAGGGTAAGGAAGAGAATAGAAAAAGAAAAATCACATCACAAAGTCAAGCTTTTCAGAAAAGACAAAGAAGTCGATAATCTTAAAACATACAGTACTCAGTTCAGTGCCCCCTTCGTAACCCAGAGCTATCTGGGGGAAGGAGGAAGAATAGTTAAGATGTAGTCTCTGGGTATTTGGACAGAGCCTCACAAACCCAGATTACTGGTTTGTGAGAAAGAATACTACCCCGAAGGTGTTTAAAAAAAATGGACTGAGATGATGACAATCACTTGGTGTTGTTACACCTGTTACTATAATATGAAACTAGAAATGGGTCTTAGTTCAATCTCTGCTATAAGTTAAAATATAAAACAAAACCAAAAATTAACCTCATTGATATCCTAAAAGACAAGTGATTTTCAGAAACAAGAGAATTAAATATTAGCTCCTCTAGAGGCTTAGTGTATGGCCTCTATCCAATACTTTCTTTAATAAGAACAGAACTGCTGTGGTTGGACTTATTATCTTAGAAACCCTCTGAATTCTCCCTTAAATCCAGCACTATAGTCTTATTAAACACCGACATGCAGTAGGGATGTGCTGGGCTCTGAGAAAAGTATGTTAAAAGACACGGTTCCTGTTCTTCCTCTAAGGAGAGTTCTCCTGCCCTTAGAATCATCTGGAGTTATTTGTTAAAAATGAAGATCCATGTGCCTAATTTCCAAAATTTGTGACTCAAAGGGGTGCACATCTCTGTACGAAATAAGGTAAACTACCTTAGGTAGTTTCTAGGTTGTTATACTTCATCATTCATATTAATAACTCTAAGCCCTTAAAAGAGAATTCTATTCATTTTCCCAGCTTATTTGGGAGCAGACAAAGGAGCATATAACACCCATTTTACAGAGGACAAATCTTAAAAGGGCTGATAAGCTGCTTAAGGGCACTGAATCAGTAGAAAATATAATTCATTCCTGTAATATACAGGTCATCCCAACTGTCTCTTCTCCCCACTCCAAACTCCAATTAATCTTTATATAAACAAAGAAAGTTTCTGTTCTAATGATCTAGCTCTCTCTCAAACACAAATATAATTTTTAATATTCTTTGAGTCTTGCTATTAATGTGTCTAAATATAAAACAGCAATAAAAAATCGGTAACAACAAAACATGCAAGTCAAGATCTATCTTCTCTCCTAAAAATGTGTAATAAAAATGTTTTGTTTTTAAGGGAAAAAGAAAATTCTGTATTTATGAAGATGCCAAAGAGGGGGACTGTCTTCCATCTTCTAATATATCTTCCAAATATATTTAGACTGGAAAAAGGGAACAAATCACATTTAACTTAAAAAATACACAAATATTTAAAATGCCTACCTCCTGCCTAACACAGGCAACTCTTTTGTCTACAAACAGAATCCTGTAACTTGAAGTAAAATCTGTAGATATAATGCCAGAGATGCCTCCAACTAAATGATAATCCAAAATAAATCAATCGGGGGTTCCCATACCTGGATTTCATTTCAACATGAAAAGTACAGTCAAAGGTTCTTAAAACTCAAGTTATGAGGTTGCTAACCCTCTTTCACTCCTTCCTAATAATCCTGATTCACTCCCAAAGTACATATTACTTTAAAAAAGCAAAAAGTGTCAAGAGATTATACTTAAGGTAAAGTAATCTGCAGGCCATCACGGTTGGGAAGAACAATAAAAATGTCTAACTATTCTCAGGGTCTAATCAATGGTCTCAGCGCTGACTGTGCATCAAATTTACCTGTCAGGGTTTTTTCTTTATATTTTAAAAAACAGATGGCAGCACTCCATCCCAGATATGCTAAGTATCAGGATCTCCAAGGAGGGAGTCCAGAAACTTTCTTTAGTTTGAAAGTAACACACCTTATTCTGTGGCGCAGTCAAGGATGAACGCCACCACCTTGAGCCGTTGGCAAAGATCTGCATGAGGAACTTCATATTGATCATGACCATGAGGAGGAGTATATGGTAACACAAACTCCTCTGAAGCACTCAAGCAAAGTTCCACAATCAGATTACCATATTTACCCAAGTAGGCACGAGTCAGATGTAAGACCTTCTGTAGCTCTCATAAGGACACACACAGTTTTATGCAGGAAATAGATCTTCCTTTCTCTTACCTATGACACCAAAGGGTTTCATGTCCTGGGTAGGAATCAATAAGATCAGTGCTGAATTCAACTTCTTCTTCTAGAAGATGGGGAAGATTTATCCTTGATTCCTCTGCTGAAGCCACTGCTTCTTCATCTTTTGGAAGAACTATAGCTGGCTCACTTCTCAACGTATTTTGCTCCAATACAGAACCATCTGTCACAGTTTGGCTAACCAAAGACTTTAATAAAAACTGGCGGTAGTGAAATCCACTGTGGTCTGAAACATGCATGGACGCCCAGTGTTTAGTAGAAGATAGTTCATCAAGAAGAATCTTGTAGGAAGAAAAAAGGGAAGTGAAATAAGAAATTGCCAAAGGTTTTACTTTCTCCATTAATGCTTTGGATTTCTCTTCTGATTCATTTCTTGTTTTGACAACACCATTCCTACCAATATTTTGTATATAATGCCCAACACAGTGTTGTCATTTAGTGGAAGCTTGCACTTAGTGGAAGCTCAGTAAATTCTAATTTTCCCTTTCTTTTATAAAGTAATTGATTTTTTTTTTTTTTTTTTTACTGCCGCAGAATTTGCGGACCTTTCCCTAGACTTTGATCACATTCTGACTGGCACACACATAGAGAAGACAGATTCTAAAATAATGATAGACATTTGAGTGTTCATTTTCAAGTAATGCTTATATTGAAGGAAAAATATAAATTCAGAGATCACTTTGATGGAAACTTTCTTTTGCATTTAATGAATCTGTATTATACCTAACTTACTATTTGTTCAACAATAGACTCAATGTAATTATTTCTTCTTCACTGTAAGTGTCATCAGGGCAGAGACCATGTCTGTTTTGTTCACTACTTAATTCTAAGGGTTTACTACAAAAACATGATGCAAGAATAACAGGAATTTTCAAGTGCTCATGACTTTCACTATCTGTCTCAAACTTACTTAACATCAATGATAAATGGCTTTTTTAAGTAGGTAAGACAAAATTCAGCAGTGAATTCTTTAAATCTGCAAACTAAAGAATTTCAAATGGAATGATAAAAAGAAAAGCAGCATTTATGAAAAAATAAGAGTGGGATTGCTGGATCATATGGTAGCTCTATTTTTAGTTCCTTGAGGAACCTCCATACTGTTTTCCATAGTGTCTGCACCAATGTACATCCCCACCAACAGTGTACTACGGTTCCCTTTTTCCTACATCCTTGCCGACATTTGTTATTTTTGATGATAAACTTTTTGATGACAGCCACTCTGAGAGGAGTGAGGTGGTTTTCATTTGCCTATCTCTGATGATTATAATTTCAAAACATTTTCATCCTCTCCAAAACAACCCCTATTCCTATTAGGAGTCCTCTAATTCCCCATTCCCCCTATCCTCTGGCACCCACTAATCTGCTTTGCTTATTCTGAATATGTCATATAAATGGAATACTACTTTCAATCAGCATATTGTTTTCAAGGTTCACCATGTTATAGTATTTATCAGAACTTCATTCCTTTTTTATGGCTGAATAACAGACCACTGTATGGATATACCATATTTTGTTTGTCTATTCCTCAGATACTGGACATTTGGGGTATAACTTTTTTTTTTGGCTTTTATAAGTAATGCTGCTATGAACATTCTCATACACACTTTGGTATTAACATATGCTTTCGATATTTTTGGATATATACCTAGCAGTGGAATTGTAGGGTCATACATGGTGTTTCTATGTTTAATTTTTTGAGGAAATGCCAAACTTTTCCCCAGTGGCTGCACTGTTTCACATTCCTACCACCAATGTATAAGGGTTCCAATTTCTCTACATCCTTGTCAACACTTGTTATTGTCTTTTTTATTTTAGTCATCCTAGTTGTGTGAAATGGTATCTCACTGTGGTTTGATTGGCATTTCCCCAGTGGTTAATGCTGTTGAACATCTTTTCATGTCTTTCTTGGTCATTTGTATATCTTTTTTGGAGAAATGACCCTATGTGCTTTTTCAGGTGACACACGGTATCAGCTTTCAATTGGCTAGTAGTAATGAACTCTGTTCAACTGTGACTGTTTCCTTCCACCCCACCCTCAAATTAGACTATTTTAAAATTTTACTTCAGTGTATGTCCACTGAAACACACAAACATTACAGGGAACAAAAAATAGAAAATTAAGACCTCTCATAATTCTACTCCCTAGCACTGGTAAACATTCTTTATTCTCTAACCTTTTTTTTCTGACTAGAAAATGCATGCTTATAGAAAATATAAGAAAATATATCTGTAACAGCACTGTGTTTGTGTGTATAAATATCTGTTGAGCACTTACAATACGCCAGGTACTGTTCTAAACATGTTAAATAGCATTCAATGCTAATAACATAAAAAAAATTGTAGTAGGCCCATCTCTTATTTAGTTTTATATCCTTAACCTATAATGAACATTTTTCTTTAAATAATCTTCTAGAATATAATTTCTAGTAGCAATAAAATATTCCACTTTGTGATGGACTGTAATGTAATCAATCCCTTGTTACTAGAGGATTAGGCTGTTCCCAGTTTTTTACTATTATGAGTGGTATTTTTATATACCAAACTCCCATATTTAATATAACAGCCAGTGTTTATTGATTAGTATGAGCACTTGTGATAGCCACATTATGTAGATTCTCCCACTTAATTTACGTCCCTCGATGAGGTAGGAATTATCATCATCCCCAATTTACAGATGAGAAAACTGTAGGTTAGAGAGGCTAAGCAACGTTCTTAAGGCCACACAGCAAATTGGTGGGAGAGTCAAGATTCAAATTACGTCTGTATGACCACTGAGTGGAGCCTTTAATCACTATATCATACTGCACCTCCCATTTTTTCTTTAGGATGAACTCCTAGAAGCAGAACTGCTAGATTAGAGATAACACACATTTTGCGGGGGTAACATCTGGTAAATGCTGCCATGTTGCCCTTTGGTAAGATTATACCAATTTCTACAATGCTTGTTTTTATACCCTTATCAATGCTGAATATCAGCACTTTAAAAAATCATTTTCAGTTTTCTAAGTAAAAAAATGCCACTCAGTTCATATGTATTTTTAAGCTGCTCTAGACAACTGGTACTTTTGTGATTACTTCCTCTAACAGGCAAAGCATAGTACATGATCTCCTAGCTGGGCCCAATGGCTTACAAGAACAGAAAGGGGATTTTGTAAATTCAGTGCACTTCACTGAGAGTGAGAGACAGTAGCAGTGGTGACAGGAAGAGTGCCAAGTCCCCCCAAGGGCAGAGGAGGGCAGACTGACAACATGTGAGGCTAGCAGTGGACCAGGGCAGATAAGTCAACACATTACTAATGCGTTGTCATCTTCAACAATGGATGGTCTCAAGGAACCAAGAATTTCACCTTGGCCTCATGTTTCTGATTTATGGGAATGCCACTTTAAAAGGTTCACATAAAGGCAGGAAAGTTTCCAAAGACCTCTCAGCTTACCTGGACTCTGCCTTCCTTTATCCTCAACCCTCCCCTTACCTCTTTCCACCTCCCACAGGATACCAAGTCGTGGAGCGGAGATGACTGGTTTTAAAGCACTCCATATCCGTCACAACCCACCAGATAACTTGAATTCATCCCTCCCGACACCCCCACAGTGTAGCATCCCTCCCTCTGGCAGCTGTTTCCAATGAGCCCAGTTTGGATGAGGAGCCATTTCTGTGATCCCACTGTACCCGGAGATTCCCTCAGTTCCTGCAAGCGTCACACTGCTTTGTAACTGTCGGTATGTGTTTCTTCAACTAGATTTTTCAATTTGTTGAGAGCAAGCTTTTTGTCTTTATGCCTCACCCAGTGTATACAACAGTGTCTGGGAATGATAGGGTTTCACTACTTTTTCATGAATGAATTGCACTGAGTTGACCTAGCAAATTGGTAGGCAAGTTTCATCTAAGTTTTCTATCTATGGGGAGCAGAGAAAGGAACTAAAATTTAGTGAGCCTCTATTAGGTGCCCAGTACTTTATACACATTACCCCAAATAATAGGGGAGCAGAGAAAGGAACTAAAATTTAGTGAGCCTCTATTAGGTGCCCAGTACTTTATACACATTACCCCAAGTAATTCTCAGTAATCCACTGAGGCAGGCAGTAGAGCCCCTATCTTACAGATGAAAACATTAAAGCCTTACTTTACACACACAGCTAATAGGGCCAGAATCTGAACTCAGGTTAATGTGATTCTGTCTTTTCTCTTTCCACTCCATTAGGTAGCCTCCCCTCCTGAAATGCAAAGCCATGTAAACTGGAGGGAAGGGCTTCTCTTCCAGAACTGTTGGCTTAAAATCCCTCAGAAGTGAAGGCTCTCCTATTTATCCTGGAGGAATCTCTGGCTAGGACACAGAGAGGGGAGAGGGGAGAAGGGACCTGAAGGGAGACGTAGGAAGCGGGTGGTGAGTAAAAATTAGAGAATGCTTCGCTATTAATCTGAAAGCACCACATGAGGCATTCTGACCACTTTAAATTGTCTCAAGCCTGGGAAGCTTTTAGAAGAGTACCCTAGATTCTTAAGGCACTGATACCACAAGAAGTGAAGAAAAAATAGAGAAGCTGTAGTATGTAAGAAGGAGCACAAGGATACCTGGCTCTCATTCTGATGAATAATAAATGATACAACCGTGGCTAAGTCCGAGCCATTAAAATTCTATGGAAACTTCCATCTCCTCATTTCTAAACTAAAAGGATTAGGCTGTGACAGTTCTCAACTGGCTCTGCATCCAAATAACCCCCTGAGCCTGTGAAAAATACTGATCTCTAAATCCTACCTTCACTTCAATTCAGTAGGCCTGGGGTGGGACACAGGAATTCTCAGGTAATTTACAGATTCAGCCAAGTTTGGGAACACCTGGGTGAGATCCTCTGTTCCCTCCCCAGCAGAGGAGATTGTGAAAAGGCAGCCAGCTGATTTAGCACTTTAAGTCACAAAACAAAAGACTACCAAGAAAGAACAATTTCAGTTCCATAAGGTTTAATAATCTCTTCCTGTTTCAGGGCAAAATGAGTTATGCTCAGTCTTCCTTACTGCTTAAACCTGCTTTGTTCTACCAAGGGACTAGCCTTAAGAGTGTCAAGGGCTCCCCTGGTGGCGCAGTGGTTGGGAGTCCGCCTGCCGATGCAGGGGACACGGGTTCGTGCCCCGGTCTGGGAAGATCCCACATGCCGCGGAGTGGCTGGGCCCGTGAGCCATGGGCGCTGAGCCCGCGCGTCCGGGAGCCGGGGCCCCCAAAAGGAGAGGCCAAAACAACGGGAAGGCCCCCGAACGGCAAAAAAAAAAAAAAAAAAAAAAAAAAAGTGTCAAAACCATGCTGGTGAGGAATGCAAACTTTTTAAAAAAAATTACCAGGGTTTCTCGGGAGGTATCAGTTCTTACAATCCTCTCCGGCCTACTGGGTCATTAGTTCCTCTACTTCTCTCTTTTAAAGCTCCTCTGAGAAGGAACTACTATATACTACCAGAAGATTTAAATGGCAGGCAGGAAGTATGCCTAGGGACATAGAATAACAGCCCTACCTTGACATCTAGCTTGGCCAGGTGCTGTAAAACCCAGATGCGATGGGACCAGGCATTATAGTTGCTTGGGTATCTCCCTGCTGCTTCACCACAGACCTCCATCTCTTCTCGTATTAGTTGCTGTGTCCTTTCTGCAGGAATTATTCCCAAGTTTCCTTTGGTCACAAAGGAAGGCAAGGAGGTTTCCTGAATTAGCTGTTGTAGCACCCATCGCCTGTTAAGGTAACATGTGGGAAAGAAATGAGGAAAGAAAATAAACCACAGAGGAAAACAACCAGTTTTCTTTATTCTCAATTTAATTTCCATTCATAGACAATGCAAAATAATGCCCAGTTTTCAAACTTTTTTGGGGGGGGGTTGTTTTGTTGTTTTTGTTTTTAAAGACATAATTAATTTGAGCAGCACGGATATGGGTGGTGGCGGGGAATAAAGGACAAAGATTAAACAAAAAGCTTTCCGAAATGTTAACATTTGTCAAAAAGAGAATGTCATCAGTTCCAAAATGACAACTTCAAAACTTCATTTGGCCAGGAAATGTAAAGGCAACGTGTGTGTGTGTGTGTGTGTGTGTGTGTGTGTGGTGGTACTGTGTGTGTGGGAGGGGGTGATATTAATTAATGGCTGGTAAATAATCAAGAGGAGCATAGTTCACTTTTATTTATTTTTTAAGATTTTTTTTTTGATGTGGACCATTTTTGAAGTCTTTATTGGATTTGTTACAATATTGTTTCTGTTTTATGTTTTGGTTTCTTGGCCGGTGAGGCATGTGGGATCTTAGTTCCCTGACCAGGGACTGAACCTGCACCCCCTGCATTGGAAGGCGAAGTCTTAACCACTGGGATACCAGGGAAGTCCCGGTTCACTTTTCATTATATGTGCATGGCTCATCCTACGTGTATTTGTTTGTTTGCAAACAAGAAGCTGTATTAAGCTTTCATGAAGCAAAATTTCTATATTATAGCACAGAATCTGGAAGGAAACAAATACAATATGATTAGTTAAACCACCAAGGAGGTTTTAAAATGTCTTTATCCACAGATTTTCCCTTTGTCTATTTAAGATTTTCACTAGCATACATTTAAATGAAAAGCACTAAAAAAGTGTCTCTAACCACTTAATGTCTTCAGGTTTTACAAATATTTTCTCATAAGAAAGCATTCTTTTTAGATTAAAAATTTCCAACCCAGGGTACAGAAAATTGAGTAAGAAAACTCATTTTGTCGTTTTCAAATAATAGAAGTTATTTTTAACAAACAAAACTTGCTTTATAAAATAATAAGCCAATAAATTGATGGCTGCATATTTAATAACTCCCTTCCCCTGCCACCACCCCTTTCCTAACCTCTATTCACACAATCATATATCTCTCTGTAGTCTGCTATCCCTATTTCTAGTAGGAAGAAAATACAGCTAACTATATCATTTGGAAGTAGCTGCTCTGCAAGGCTAGCCAAAGGCAAGATTACAGTTAAGAAACCTTAAACTGACTTTAAGATCCTAAAAATACTCAGGATGTAAGAAAAGTTATAAGGGGCTTAAGAACAGATTTCTTCAGAGATTCTCCTCACTGACCCCAACCAGTAAGCCTACACCATCTCATTTTAGTCAAAAGAGAGTAGTTACATGGGATCCAAGAGTAGGATGCTTCCAGATAGCCAGGATTTTGAAAAGAGTTCTTACATGCACTTTGGATATCTGCTTCAGGCCTTTAACCTAAAAATATTCTTTGCATTTACGGTCTTAGCAACTCTAGTTCAGCCCACACACCATTCACCTCAGTTGCCCTTACTTGGTTAATTTTAATAACCATAACCATCACCACCACCATCTTTACCAGGAACACACTTGAATGAATTAAATCCAAGTTTAATAAAACAAGTTGCTCATTACAGTTGAATATCTAAATGCAATTTCCATGATTGCTTCAGATAGTTAATAATAATAGCTAAAATTTACTGAGTATTTCATATATGCCAGGCACTATGGTAGTGTTTACATGCATTATCTGATGTAAACTCAACCATTTACTCTGAGATAGGTATAATTATTATTCCCATTTTACAAATGATAAAACCAAAGCTTGAAGAGGTTAAACAATTTCTGAAGATCACATAAAGTGATGGCATCTAGACTTAAATGTAGATATAATTTGACTTTAGAATTCATACTCTGAATCACTGTGTGACCTGCTTCACATTCTGTGTTTGTTTTTTTTTTCTCCAGCCATTCTAAATTCTAAGTAAGAATCCTATGGTGTAAATTAACCAAACCTGTGAATCCATGTTTCTGGACTCTTTGGAAACTTAGTTAAGGCCAGTTTTCCCAGATGTAAGTCCTTAATTGGATTTAAAGTGCCAGAGAGGATCAGCTCTTTTCTGTAAAAGAAAAATAAAAAGAACCATTACTTTGCCTTTCTACAGAAACATACTGCATGACTATTAATATAACCTCATTGTGAAGCAAATTTCCAAGAATAAAAAAAAGAAAACATAAAACTCTCATAAATGTCACACAGTAATCAAGAATGTATTCTCATAATCTTGAAATAACAAATTAAAAAACAGAAGCTCTTAAATCAACAGTGGAACTTTAGTTATCTATTTGGTAGAAGGCAAAGGGGTTTTCTGGCTTGTATCATTTCCAAAACTTACAAGGCCTGACTTCAGTATCTGTAGGGCAAATCCAATACAAGTCAAGAATTGTAGCTTCCTAAGTAGGACTTGATATGGTCTAGTTTGTTACCAAAAAACACACATACAGCAACACACTGGACTGAGATGTAGGAAAAAAATCGTTCATTCAATAACTACCCTAACAAAATTATTATTATTTTTTTTGGATTTTCCCTTCTACCTTTCCTCATATGCATATGTATTTTAAAATATAATTTTATATTCTGCTCTTATATCTTAAGAATTACCCCACAGTTCTATATAATCTTTAAAATGAACATTTTAAATGGTCAAATAGTTTTCATTCAGTAGCTATCCTGTAATTTAATGACCTTTCCCCCTGTAATTAGACATTTTAGGTTGCTTCCAAGTTTTTGCTATTCTAAAAGAATTCTGAAACAAAAATCTTTGTGCTTATAAGTTCTTTTGTTTGTACTACTACTTAGGATAAGTTTCCAAAAGACATATTACCAGGTGAAATACTTGGATGGCTCTTGATACACTAGACCATTCCTTTTTGAAATATAAACAGAAGTAAAAGGAATATGAGCTCTTTGTTGTTGTTTTAAAACTGTTCAAAGCTTCAGTGCAATTATAAACTATGTCACGCAAGAGTTCCACCTATTTCTCAGGTTACTCTAATTTAAGTTTAGATTTTCTCAGGTTAAGTTTTTAATAATAAGCTCTGATATTACTGATTACACTCCTATTTTTCAATTTATCTACTGTTTTATAATAAAATTAGGTCACTTGCTAGTTTTTATTAACTTTAAAATGTCTTTCCTGTGGTAGGGCTGATCATTCATTTACTTTAGAGATGTTAATCTCAACAAAACCAGAGCCCAGCTCATATGTCTCAACTACTTAGATGGATTTAGTTCCTAAATACCACAATACATTTTCTTTCCAACAGCAATGTACTATTTCTAAAATTTTATTTGATAAGGAAAATAAATTCCTTTTTAATGAAAATACTATATAGTGATAATAAATACTTGCATTTTACAATCAATTTTATTTCAGACCAGTAACTTCACTCTGTAAAATAATCTGAAGTGATACCAAGGTTTATGACTGCTTTAAAAAATGATTTATTGACTATTTTCTTTCAATGTGCAGGAAATCTATGTCATTAAAAGAATATTTTAATGCAACAGCCAGTTATTTCTGCAGTTCTAGATCCCTTCTCTTCTGAAATCAGTAACGTTTTGTTCATACAGTAAGTCAGGATACCTGTAGTGTAAAAGAAGGCAAAATATTGCTCTATGTAATTTAAACTACTTTGTAGAGCGCTTGTTTCTCAGAGTAGGGTCCCTAACTGCAACATCATCATCATTTGGAACTTGTGAGAAATATAGATTCTTAAGTCTCACCCCAGACCCACTGAATCAAAAACTCCAGTGGGGCAAAGCAATGTGTTTTAACAAGCCCTCCAGGGCACACTAGAGTTTAAAAACCACTACTGTAGAGAACTTATTGTATTAAGCCAAATTTTCATTTACTAAATTTAAAACCTCTCCTTATTTAAAACTGCCTACCTATGTTCCCATATATGTCTGTATATAAGGGGAATTAAAATTCTTCAGAAAAGAGGAAGTTACCTTACAACTGAATCTTGACAAAGTTTCTTAAATAAGGGCCATCTCTTAATCTCTTTATTTTGAACAACAAAGTCATATTTGTGAAGATATCTTAGTCTGAAACAACCTCAATCAAAGGTATATATGGATGCTTAAAAAGATCGTCTGATAGAATCATTAAAAAAGGTAGCAAAATTTTACTATCAATTTAATAAACATTCCTAGGAAAGGACTGAACATTGCAGGCATTGGATCATTATAAAGCAAATTTTCAAAAGATCACTTGAAAAAGAAATATGGTAACTGGTTAAGTTATGGCTATCATATAACCTAGAGATCCAACAAAAAACCACCTGCTTTAATATATTCAAGTAGGAATCTCGTCTGAGATAAAACTTCCAGTCACACATGGATTTGGAAAGTGCTGTATCTGAAACAACTAAAATGTAAGTAAACACGATGTGCTCTGGAAAACTGTGCTAGATAACTCAAAAAATAGTTCTCGTGATGACAAAAAGTCACTGATGTCAATAAGCCATGTGAGAAGTTTGAACTGTCTAATGAAATGTGAGAGCAAAATGAAGAATTTATAAATTAAAATATTTCAGGTAACATGTTATTTTAAAGGTGTGTAACTATATTGAAAAATTAAATATCCTAAGAAGAAATTTGCTTATTTCATGTACTTACCTTAAAGTTTACAAATTGATATTAGCCTAAAAAAATCTTTTTTTTTTGGACTGTTATTGAGGAAATGGAGTATTGTCTTAAATTTGAGGTGACTTTATTTTCTGGCATACTGAATAAGCTGGGCTTCTATATTCATCCTAAAAGCCTTAGGTGGTCCATTGCTAACAGATGAAGAAGGCATTAAGTGAGGGTCATCAAATAAATATGGAAAAAACTAATTAGGAAAGGACAAGGCAGCTGTGTCATTTGGGATAGAGAGCAGGGTGGTAAGAAACAGTGCTATGCTATACATGCAACCTTGTTATGGGATTAAATTATGTGAGGGTTGACTTTTTTTTAAATGTGGGTGAAGGGAGGAGACTAAAGAAGTTTTAAGAAATAATAAAAAGTAGAATGATAAAAAGGAATGAGGTTTCTCACATAGCAGATTTTTCAAATAAAAGTTACTCCTTTAAAATTTTTGCTACACATTTCACTTACTAATTAAACAGTATATGAAAAACCTCATTACTTTCCCTTGAAGACTGTAGTTCATCATTATGAAAATCAGCTAGTGTTGGTTAAAACACACCCACAGGAGCCTCCAGGCCACTACTACATAGTACTTAGTACTACTACTAAGGTTAAGTAGTATGTTTTCTTTCTCTATATGAGTTCCTGTGCTTTTATATTTCTGCAAAGTTTATCTTATTTTATAAAGTTTTTATGTCTTCTCTACCATCTCAAACTATGGCTTCTCTCTGCTGTCACTCTATCCAAAATTTGTAGGAGACCAGGGGCCATGTGTATCATGTCCATGGCTAAATCTCAACTGGTTAGCCTCAGTACCTGGCATATAGTAAATACTGAATAAACATATGCCACCGTTTTTTCACCCCTTAATCTTCAGTTATTTTGTGTGAAATAACAATAATGATAATAATAAAAGTCATCCTCATAAAAACTACCATTTATTGAACACTTCTTCTGAATCAGGCAGTGTGTTAAGTGAATTACATATATTTTCTACTTCAATTCTCACAAAGATCCTGTATTATGTTAAATAATATGAAACTGCCAATATTCAATGTTTTGTTGTTTTTTTAAAATAAACCTTTTATTTTAGAATTCTTTTAAATTTACAGAAAAGTTCTTAAGAATAGTACAGAGAATTTCTGTATGGCCTGTACCCAGTTTCTCTTATTATTAACATCTTATATTATTACGGTACATTTGTCACAACTGATGAAGCATTGATAGATTAGTATTGGAAGTCCATACTTTATTCAGAATCACTTCATTTTTACCAAACATCCTTTTTGTATATCAGGGTCCCACCAGGATATCACATTATATTTGGTTGTTATATCTCTGTAGGCTCCTCTCGGTCCCTTAGATATACCTTGTTTTTGATGGCCTTGACAGTTGTGAGAGTACTTATTGGGTATTTTGTATGATATTTTTCTCATGGTTAGACTAGGGTTATGGGTTTTGAGGGGACCACAGAGGTAAAGTGCCATTTTCATCATATATCATGGGTACATAATATCAGCATGACTTGTCACTGTTTATGTTGACCTTGAATACCTGGCTTAGGCAGTATACGCTAGATTCCTCCACTGTTCTTTTTGGGAAAAGGTTACACTTTAAGGAGTGAAGATATATGCTCCATCTCTTTGAGGGGAGTTACCTAGATAAATTATTTGGAATTTTTCTGTATGGGAGAGTTGTCTATTATCTCTTATTTGTTTGTTTATTTGAGCATTTCTTTTATCAGTATGGACTTATGGATATCCATTTTCTACTTTGGGGTATAATCCAATACTATGTTATTTTATTGTTCAAACTGTTCCAGCCTTGGCCAATGGAAGCACTTCCTTACTTTCTGTCTCTCAAAGATGTTCCAGGCTCATTTGGTGTATTTCCCGGCTTGGTCCTAGAATCAGCCATTTCTCCAAAAAGCCCAGCTCCTTTTATTAGAGAATGGTGTTAGAAACCAGGATCTGAAAGTTTGGATTTAATCATTTCTGATTTACAAAAAGAACAATTTTATATGGTACAACCCAATGTTACCTCAGTTTTACAGATGAGGAAACAAAAGCTGGGAGAGATTCAGTAACCTGCTCAAGGTCTCCAAGCTCAAAGTGTCTGAACCAAACATCAAATCTGCATAAAGTAAAGTTACCAATTAAATTTAAATCAATCTTTACTTTGAGTAAAGAATATGAATCATTGGAGCTTGGTGTCAGCTCTTCTAGCTGCTCAAAGATGTTTTGCTTACTCTATGTTCACAGACTGAGGGAAAAATAGGACATTACTATGAAGTCAACCTCTTTCATCAATTAATTCACCAATTTTCAAAGCAAATTCAAAGCAAAAAAAAAAAAAAAGTACCAGTCATTTTTTTTCTAGAATCAGCCGGGTTTTTAAACTATATGCATCACATACTTTAATCACAGATCAGCTCAAAAACTTATTCTTGCCCTTGTTTTTCTTCCTAAGACTGCGACACCTATAAAGTGAACTATTGATATGTTACAACATCTTTTACCAGTTTATAAATTCAGCCAAAGATCATTCAACGATTCCCAAAGTTACTGCAGAAGAAATGTACCAACAATTAAACATAAAATGTTGAGTATTTGATTTGTGAGAACTTACAGCATTAGATCAGTTTATTTCCAAAGTTGTTTGTTTTTTGCTCAAAATGGACTCATGACTCTGTCTTTATATGTCAATCTTACCAATACAAATTAAAATTTACTAGAACACATATCTACAATGGGTTTCTTAAAAATCAAGATTTCCTTTCTACTCATCTAGCACAAAACTTACTAAATCATCTTACTAGAATAGCTTCAAGATTAACTATTAACATCACTGAAGTCAGATTTATGGAGCAATTTCCCTTCATAGGACCAAACCACACACAATCAAAACACAGTTTCAACAGAATCATTAAAAAAAAAAAATCACCTAATTCAGATTTTTTTTGGCGGTACATGGGCCTCTCACTGTTGTGGCCTCTCCCGTTGCGGAGCACAGGCCCCGGACACACGAGCTCAGCGGCTATGGCTCACGGGCCCAGCCGCTCCGCGGCATGTGGGATCTTCCCAGACCAGGGCACGAACCCGCGTCCCCTGCATCGGCAGGCGGACTCTCAACCACTGCACCACCAGGGAAGACCTAATTCAGATCTTTTATTTCAAGCTATGGAAACTAAAACTCCTGAGAAGTTAAAGGTCTTGTCCAAGGCAACTGCTAGTTAATTGATGAAACAGGACTAAGATTCATATATCTTAAGAACTAGGTTCTCTCTTCACCACTAAACTGCCATATAGAATATACAATGAATTATATGTGTTTGCGTATACACATTATGCTAGTAAGAATCTTTTTTTGTGGCAGGATTTTAAATTCCTCTGTAATGATGAGGAATCTGTGAACATAAATAAAAATGGTACTCCCACTTCTCTATTACACTCATTTCTTTTTCACTGAGTTTAATTATTTTCAGTGCCCAGTCTGCAAACTGAGTATCTATTGTATACCAGGCACTAAAGTGTTAGAGGCTAGGGAAACAAGGAAAAAAAAAAAAGACATGGTCTCTACCCTTAAGAAAGCGCTCAGTTTTAAGTTTATAGTACCTTCCTAAAAGTCTCCTTTGTTGATTCTTCCTCATCTCGCAAACTCTAGAACAGCACTGTCCAATAGAAATATAATGTGAGTCATACATGTGAGCCATATATGTAATTAAAAATTTTCTAACAGCTACATTAAAAACAAGTACAAAGTAATATATTGTATTTAATTAATATACCCCAAATATAATTTCAACATGTAATCAATATAAAAATTACTAATAAGAAAGATATTTTACTTTTGGGGGTACCCAGTCTTCAAAATCTGATGTGTAGTTTACACTTACAGCACATCTCAATGGAGACTAGTCATATCTCAAGGGCTCAATAGCCACTTGTGGCTAGTGGCTACTATACTGAACTGTGCAGCTCTAGAAACCTGTAGTGTCCCAGTGCTTAGTCTTTGGACTGGTTCTCTTCTAATATCTATACCCACTACTTTGGATATCTTAAACAATCTCATGGCTTTAAATACCATACATTTTCCAGTGATTCCCAAATTATATCTGGCCTAGAACTCTCGCCTGAACTTTAGATTCATACACAACTGCTTGGACACAAACCTAACATGTCCCAAACTGAACTCTTGACTTCCAACCACCTGCCCCCTCACGCACTTAAATCTGCTCCTCTTCCAGACATCCCCATTTCAGTAAATAGCAACTCCAATCTTTCAGTTGCTCAGGCCAAAAACCAGAGTCAATCTTGACCTTCATTCTCTCACAGCCAATTTATCATCTGTGTCTTTAAAATCAGTTTATTAAATACAGTCAAAGCTTACATAGTTTATAAAATACAGTGAGAATCTTACCTGCTTCACACCACTTCTAGTGCTGAGTTTTATCTACCTCAGTCACCATCATCACTCACCTAAACTACTGCAACCACTTCTTAACTTCCTAACCACTCCCTGCACTCCTACAGTCTACTTTCCACACAGGAACCAGAGTTTTAAAACATAAGATATTGTCCCTCCTCACCTTGAAAACCTTCAATGACATTCTATCTCACCCCAAGTAAAAGTCAAAATTTCTTATTGCTGTCTTATTGACAGCAGCTTATGAAGATCTACAAAGCCCAGTGAGATCTGGCCCATCACTCTCTGGCCTCATCTCCTGTTACTCTCTCCCTCATTCATGCTACTCCAGCTACCCTGGCTTCCTTGCTGTTCCAGAATAACCAGGAACACTTCAGTCATGACTGAGGGCTTTTCCACTTGCTGTTCTCTCTACGTGGAATGTTCTTAGCCCAAAACTGACAGGGATTGATCCCTGGCTTCATGGCAGTCTTTGCTCAAATGTAGCCTATTAAAACTGCAATACCATTCCTTCCATTCTCTTACTGGTCTTCCCTGCCTTCCTTTTTCTCCATAGGATTAAGCAACACTTGATCTACCATATATTTCACTTATTAATGTCCTTATTGCTTTTCTTCCTCTACTAGAATAAAAGTTCCACAAGGACAGAGATTTTTGTTTGTTTTGCTCATGGTTCTATTCCCAGTGCCTAGGACCTAGCATAGAGTATACAGTTAATCAATAAATATTTGATGAATGAATGAACAAATGTTGTCAAGTATTGTTTGGGTTAAATGAGATAACATATAAAGTTGTAGTATGGTCGCAGGAATAGAGTAGCCACTCATAAACATTAGTCTACTCCCTAACCACTGTCGAGCTTTCCATGAAAGAAAATCAGAATTCTAAAATTTGTAAATTTTTAAAGCCTTCTATCTCATTCTATCCTTTCTCACTCTTTACTCTAAATATCTGATCATTATCAGTCAAAAGACAATTTAAAAAAATAATAGAGGTTACCTAAATTTAATAAAACTAGCTACAAATTTAAAATTCAGTGGGTATTATAAAACACTAACGTGGAATTAAAATTCACAGAAAATTGAAGTATTGTTTAAGTCATCTTTAAAGATAAAGAGCTATAATTTATGGCTCTTTCCTATAGGAAATTTTAAATGAAATCACAATGTTCAACAGGACTTCACTTTTATTTATCTACAATTTGTATCCTGCTTTCCTCAAGGAAAATTTATGTTAGTCTAAAGAACCACCAATTTTTAAAAACCATACATAGTGTTTAAATGAAAATTTTAAGAAATGAACCTGGCCTGAATTTTAATATTTCTATAAAGTATTCTGTGTTTAAAGCGACAACAATCAGAATTAAAGAACTTAAGATACTAATAAGATGTGGTCCTTCTCCAAAATACTGAGTGCCAGAGACTTCAAATGATTTGCCCACAGAGGTCACAAGGTGACTAAACTAACAGTTTGTGACCTTGAATGCTCACTTTTACACTTTCTACTGCACTGCAGTGCTTCTCAAATATACTAACCAATACTTTACAATACAACCAATTATGCTGATTCCTTCTACCCCCCTAAAAAAGGAAGATAAAAGCATGTATCAAATGGTATACTGTAATTCAACATGAAAATTTATATTTCAGGCAAGAAGTTTAGGGAGAACAAACATAAACATGCAAAAAGGGGCAAAGTGTATATCAGAATTGTCATGGAGATATTATAAAGAAGAAATAAGTTTAAGATGCCATGAATATGTGATTTATATTTCACTTTTCAAAAAGCTAACAATTCATGTGGCTTATATGTCTTCAGAAATTTGGGCAATTTCATTTTATCACTGATGAGAATGACGTACCTCACGTTCCACGCAGTGGTAAAGTCTGGGTTTAGAAGTAGCAGGGTGCATGTGACATCTATCAATTCTAAAATAAAGAGAAGTCATATTAAAAACAAACAGTCCTACCCTTGAAGGTGTGGCTTCTCTTTCTTTTAAGGTCCTCTTTATTTTATATATATATATCACATTATACTTATATCTCATGTCATAGTAATTTTAATGATAACTTTGTTCTAAGCTGTCAGAGACACAAAGATTATCCTCAGATACAAAGACATGAAGATTTTCTTCTACTTATAATAAGTATAACTTTTTAAAAGTTGACACTGAAACCACTTTACAATACGTCTATAAAGAATAATCAAACTAACCTATTCATTCTTTTAGTAGTTTTTGGCACAAAAAAACACAATTTCTCTACCACTACTCATTTAATTTCAAAAATATTTCAAGAATTGACTACGTGCAAATTTTCAAAAAGAAAATCACATATAATCCAACTTAGTTAACAATTCATTTACATTCCCCTGCAAAGATTATTTCTTACACACATTTTTACAGTTATAGCAATGATAAATGCACAATTTTGTTCTATGTTTTTCACTCAACATTATTACATATGCATTCTCCTATATTGCTACAGTATGCATTTTTTTTTTTTTGCGGTACGCGGGCCTCTCACTGCTGCGGCCTCTCCCATTGCGGAGCACAGGCTCCGGACGCACAGGCCCAGCGGCCATGGCTCACAGGCCCAGCGGCTCCGCGGCATGTGGGATCCTCCCAGACCGGGGCACGAACCCGCGTCCCCTGCATCGGCAGGTGGACTCTCAACCACTGCGCCACCAGGGAAGCCCTACAGTATGCATTTTTAACAACTGCATAACAATCCTTCAGTTTAATATATTATCATTTATCTTCTTCTTTAGGCTGTTTCCTGTTTTGTTTTTACTGTTATGGATAATACTACTACACACATTTTTAAGCATACTTTTTGTCTCATAGATTATTTTCTTTGGATATTTTTCCAGGAGTAGAACTACTATGTCAAACAATACAAATATCAGTATGGCTCCCACTAAGCACTTCCAAACTGTTCTCCAAATAGACTGTATCTATTTACATCGCCAAGAGTAACGTGAGTGTACTTATGTCCCTGTAACTTTGACCTATGTAAGTGTATTTTTGAAAATGAATGTGGCAGATAAAAAAATTGTACTTTGTTTCTGTTTTAATTTACATCTTTAATTACAATTATTAATACAAACATTTTTTGATTTTGTTTACTATTTTCTATTTTCATTGTATAGTCTATTCATATTCATTAGCTATGTATCTATCATGGTCTTGAATAAGCTCCATAAGCCTATATTTAATAAAACAAAGTCAGTAATATTTAGATATATCGTCTTCATTTTATTAAAACTGAAAAAAAGAATTTTAGGATTAAGATGATCAGCCTAGGGCATAAAACTAAATTACAGTAACCTCTACCAAGCTCATATTAAATGCTAAGTAAATAAAATAATAAAAACTGTTATAATTATTTGGCATTATTATGTATCAGGCACATTATTATTTTATTTACATTATTTCATTAAATTCTCACAATCATAATCCAAGATATTTGGAAATGGACATCTAGAGATTTCAAGGAATTTGCCCAGAGTCACCCAATTAGTATGTGCAATGACAGCGTCTGACTGCTTTTAATAACTCAGTTATACTGCGGTTGAAATGTCTGTCTACAATAAATAATTGGGACACTCTCTGTTTAAGTAAAAGATAAACTTTTAAAAATCTAAGAGTAAATACACATAAGTGCATCCCTATAGTCATCTTAAAATATTTTAGTGAACATGAAAATCAATTATTCAATTCTCAACCATCTCAATAAGAGATTAACATTTATTGTGAGCCTATGATTTCATTACTACTGAATATATTATAACATTTGATAAATGAGCAACAAAAGGTAGGATTAGCACACATTTATTTTTTAACTTTATCGTCCTCATTACAAGCATCATGAAATGTCTATATTACAAACATACTATATAATATCAATGTATATATTATATAATGTCAATATGTCTATAAGGAACAATCTAATAAACCTCTTCCTTCTTTTACTTTTAGTAGTTTTGGGCACTAATTTAACATTTACCAGGGAAATTAAATACAATTTTCTATACCATTATTCCTTTAATTCCAAAATATACCAAGTACTGACTATGGGCAGAGATTAAACTGGGCCCACAGGACTGAGAGAATGGATATTATGAGAAATGCAAGATCTGATCTTGCCTTCTAAAAGGTTAACCTTTAGTTGGAGAGAATATGTAAACAATTATAAGGCAAACTAAAATAATTGTGAAGTAGAAACATATACCACATTTTGGGGACCACCAAAGCAGCTGCAATTAATTCTTACTGGAGTACGCAGGGAAGACTATAAATGAGTAAGACAGTAAAGGGCACTACAGACTGTGGAAAAAACTATGAGGAAAGGTAAAGAGGCAGGGACTTCACACACAGTATGCTCTCAAAAGATTATGGGTACCCTGAGCGTGACTAAAGCTGAGGGTGCTGGAGAAATGTACCTGGAAAACAGAATCTGGTCCCAATGTCCTTGTCAGCCTGGCTTTCCATTACTTTCCCTTCAGGTGCTACATTCCACCTGAACCAAACACCCCCCATTCCCTAAACATACTGCCCATCTGCCTACCTTTTCTTCTCTGGCTATAACTCAGATTTACCTGCTTCCTATTCTCTCTGCCAGAAATGTCCTCCTATCCCTGAATTTAAAAGAAAAAAAAAAGCATCTTTCTGTATAAAGGCCTTCCTGACCTACATGGTTGAAAGCAATCTTTCATCTCTATGTTCTGTGTATATCTTACTTTGTTACTGAACTTACATAAATATTATCCTCTCGATGAGACTGTATATATTTTGGATGCAGGTCCTCTCTAATACACCTTCAAATTAGCCATTCATTCATCAAAGATGAAAAAAATATGGCCTCTGCCCAAAAGAAATTCCAAGTCTGCCCACATCACAGAGAAGTGGTAAGAGCACAGGTCTTAAAGCCATTCTGCCTGGGTTCAAATCTCAACTTCTCCACTTACTGCCTACATAACTTAATGTCTTCGAACTTCAGTTTCCTTATCTATGAAATGGGGATCATAACATCAACCTTAGTGTTGTAAGCAATGAGATTCATCCCATTTCTCCATAGCTGTTTGACACACAGTTTGACTAAGTAAATACTTGTTCAACTAAACACCATTACTACTTATCAAGAAATGAATATTCTCAACATCAATTAATCAAAGAAGTCAGAAAAAATGAGGCAGTTGTTCTTATTGCAAAGCTGTCTAAATTTCTAAACTTGTGTAATGAACAATAACAAAAAACCACTTGGTTATTAAGTGGCTGTATGAAAATGTTTGTGCATGATGGGAAGGCTTCTGGAATTTTCTTTTTAAGTCCACAATTTTTCAAAATCCATTACACTTCCCAGATAATGAGATAAACTGGTATTTAGTTTCTTGGACTCTCCCTTTCTGCATTAAAAAAAATGTGTAATAGTTGCTATTTGTTTGTACTTCTAATGCAACTCTCCTTCCCCACCCATAAATGAAGAGGAGTTCATCCTCCACAAGATACTTGTGTATAGCAGCACAAGGCAAAAACTAACACAGAAAATACCGAAGTCCCCACTTTTCACTTTGTGGATGTGTGAAGAGCACTTCTTTTACTGGAGGGTCTCCCCCTAGCAAGGCAACAGCAGCTGTTGGGTCAGAGCCCAGCTCTACTACTGACTGGGAAGTTCCGAGGCACATCAATCTTTCTGTGCCTTAGTGTCCGCCTCATACGTAAAACTGAGCTAATAATAGTACTACCTCATGGGTGTATTAAATGATTCATACCCATGAATTGTTAGGACAATACCTGACACACAGCAAGCACGCAGTGATAACTCCTGTTACAAAGCCTGTATCTCCTAGCCCAGTTACAAATGATACTGGGATTGGATGCCACCAGAGGGAGGAAAAGAATCTCTTGAGCTGGCTGAGCAGCGACTGCTGAGTGGAGGGATCCTTCTCAAACCCCCCCTGTTCTCTAAACACACTTAAAACTTATCAACAGGCTTGGCAGTAATGCCTAGTAACACATACAGTCACATGCCCTTCCCCCTTCCTCTTTGATAAACTGCTAACTCTTCCTGATTCAGGACTTAAGTTCAGATGGGACCTCCTTTAAGAAGGATTCCAGTCAGATCCAAGAGGTGGGGGTGAAGTAGAATATCAGAAATGGAAAAGGGCCAATGAAGGAGAAGTAACTAGGTTATAAATATTGGACATAATTAAAGAATCCTTACTGAATTATATATATTTTTCTGCTCTTCTTCCTCACTGGCTCTGGATAAATGAGAGAAAGGAAACTAGTGTTTCTTGAGAGTCAATGACAGGCCAGTCTCTGCGCTGGGTGCTTTACATACACTAATTCATGTGATCCTCATAACAACCCTCTGAGACCTGTGAGAATTCTCTTCTTTTGGTGTGGAACTAGGAAAAGGTTAAGTAATTTGCCTAAAATCACTGCTAAATGACTTCAGTGTGCTGATAAATTGAGTCTAAATCCAGCTCTGTTTTTCTTGCAAAGAAGATGCTCTTTCCAACCTAGCACGCTGTCTACAATTACTTTGCTGTCTTCAAGTGAGTGTTGAACCAAAGATCTAAAGATAAACATGTATAATCAACAGTTGACTATTTCACTCTCTCCATCTCATCAACTATATACCATTTTTCTTTGCAGTTTTTCCAAGATGTGAGCTATTGATATCCCTACAGTCTCTTGAAATTAAACAGATGTCTCTCCAAACACCAGAACATATACCAGCAAATAACCATTCCTTTGTTACACACACTCCAATATATGACTAGCTCATCATCACATCACAAGGAGAAAATGAATCAGAGCACATTATACACAGGAAAAAAAAGTACCTAAATTTCAGCTGTAACAAAGAGAACATTTAAGGATGTTACAGAAAAGTCAGAGAAAGACCAATATGCTTTCTTGGCTTCAGTGCATTCTAGAAATGGCCCAAGGTGAGCAGTCACCTGGTACTGGACACTGGGTTTGACAACTGTCTCTAACAGAGATATGTTTTCATGCATCTAAAAATAAATCCAAGGTCAACTTGGATTAATTAATCTCTTCCTCTAAAATACATTCAGGTTACCACAACAAGAGAGGCTTGAGGTGAGGTTAGTGGTAAATATCAGAAAGGTCCTGTTTATTACAGAATACAGTCACTGAATCAATAGCCAGACTAAGCTAAAAGCTCTTGCTTACCAAACTCTTGTTACTTATTTGACAAATGTCTATTGAACACATAAAAGTGCTGAGTAAATAAAGACAAGCTATAACTCCTCTTTCTAATAAACCCACAATCTAGCTGGGATAAATGTTGTTTAAATAATCAACTACAGTAAAGTCTGGTAAGTTCTACTATGCATGCAGTATGAATAAGGACTCCCACAGGAGTGCAAAGGAGTAACTGTTGCTTCCTGGAGCAGTCAAGAGGCTTCACATGTGTGTGTGATGGCAAACACAACAATAATGACAACATTAGACCTGAACCTGACCTCAGCAAAGGCATGGAATTAAGGCAGTAGTACACAGCAAAGTCCAAGAATGGAACAGTGTTTGTTGTGGCTGGAATGTACATCAAACAGCTGCAAACTCAAATGCTTCCAGGGCTCAAATAAATGGCAAAAAAGAGGCAAAGCAAACCTGGTAAGTAGCAAATGACACTGCCTCAGTGTCTGAAGGACATGAGGAGGTTGCAGTCAACTGGAACAGGCTTGCCTAGTCAAGAAAAGCAGAGGCTATGATCCTCAGCCAATTGCTGCTGCACAGAAACGGATGCATCCAAGGCTTCTGATTTTTCAAGTGAAGGCAGAAATCCATATTTCCATCCTAATTTTAGAAGTTCATCCTGATTTGAAATGTTTAACCAACAACAAAGTTGTTTTAAAAACAATTTTTAAAACATTATACAAGCCAAAATGAAATAAACATGTGGGCTGGCTTCAGCCTGGTGGCTGAGAGTCTACAACCTCTGATGCTAAATATAAAAGTAGAGGAGGGCTTCCCTGGTGGCGCAGTGGTTGAGAGTCTGCCTGCCAATGCAGGGGACACGGGTTCGTGCCCCGGTCCGGGAAGATCCCACATGCCGCAGAGCGGCTGCACCCGTGAGCCATGGCCGCTGAGCCTGCGCGTCCGGAGCCTGTGCTCCGCAATGGGAGAGGCCACAGCAGTGAGAGGCCCGCGTGCCGCAAAAAAAAAAAAAAAAAAAAAAGTAGAGGAAAAAGCTGGTAGCCTGCGGACAGATCGTGAAGGCCCTTGAATACCATGCCAAGGATAATGACTCTACCTTGTCCCTCTAGGCATCATGAAACAAGAGGATACATATTTCAGAAAAGCATCTTTCAAACTGTGTTTCTAAGAAGTGTTTGAAACGACTGACTAGTGGCATGACGGACATGGATTACAGAAGAGAGGCCGAAAATGGAGTAGACCAACGATGAGGTAATAATATTTATCCAGATGAGAAATAAGAAATGAAGAGACAAGAGAGAGCTCAGTGATGGACTGAGAGCAAGCATTGTGAGAAAGAGGGAAGAACAACAACAACAAAAAGATGGAAGTGCTGACTTAGAGATAGAGTGTGGGACAGAGCACTACTCAGTCAGGACTCCACTGCTATGGACTTCTCTCTTGCTTTTTGTTTCTGCCATGGATTTTTCATAAATCAGAATTACAGTATCACCCCTCTCCCAAACCAAATATGGCTATTACTGCAGCACACTTTTAAAAAATATTAGTTTCTCTCTAAGTAAATAAACAGGGAGGCTGTGATGGTTACTTTTGGTTAAACTACAGTTAAACTTGACTGGCTACAGGGTGCACAGATTAAACATTACTAAACATGATTTCTGAGTGTATTAGTGAGGGTGTTTTCAGATGAGATTAACATTTGAATCTGAAGACTCAGTAGACTGCCCTCCCCAATGTGGGTGAACATCAATCTGTTGAGGACCTGAACAGAACAAAAGGAGGAAAACAGGAGAATTGACTCCTTTTTCGCTTCCTCTGTCTGCTTGAGTTGGGACACCTCATCTTATCTTCTCCAGCTTCCAGACTGGGATTTAAACCACTGGCTCCCCTGCTTCTCAATCCTTCAGACTCAAACTGAATTAAATCACTGGCTTCTCTGGGTCCCCAGCTTGCAGAAAGCAGATTGTGGGACTTCTCAGCCTCCATAATCATGTGAGCCAATTCATCATAATGAATCTCGTTTTATGTATATATATACATAAAATCTCTATTGGTTGTTGCTGTGGAGAACCCTGACTAATACAGATGATTTTCAAACATCTAAGGAATTCAGCACACTAATGAGAGCATGAATTCAGTTTGGTTAAAAAGAAAAAAAATATATGCCCAGAATAAAGGTCACCTGCAGTTACAGAATACATTCTGAAGGGAATGCCGAGGATTTTGGCATGGTCTATCACAAAGACACTGGCATTTCTGAAATTGTTCTTAAACTGCCAGCTTTCTTCACTTGGCTCTTATATGTATATTTTCTACAAAAACAATTTAAAAAGTATAGCATTTTCATGAAATGACTTCTTTTTTCCTAATACTTTTAACTTTCTTTCCTTAGCAAAATTCACCACTGTGTTCTTCAGTTCACAAGTTTAGCAGAACACTCTTATGTTAGTCAGTCTGCATTTTCAGGTATCTTTTTTTTATCACATCAGAAACTCACTTCCATATTTTTACCAATAATACAATATACAACCTGAGTAATATATGACACCGCATTGAACTATACTGTCGCTGCCCCCAAAAAGTGAAATTGAAAACTACTTCCATGAAGATATAGGTTAAGATAAAATCAAGTTGCTTCTGTATACACGCACAGTTGCATCAGAATTCAAACCTTAGATGTCAGCAATTCATGTGAGTGAGCTTAACCATTTGATCTTCTGCCTGGGTTCTCCTGGGTCTATCAAGATAAAACTATATGATGAGGAGATTTAGCAAAGCCTACAGTGCACTGCCCAGAAAGACAAGAAACAGGGAAATGGAGAGAAGAACTTGGAAGACTACAGGAAGAAGGCAGGTTGGGCTAGCATACATGAAAGGGCAAAAGCTGATGATCTGAAATGACAGCCTTTGACACTTTCAAATTCATACTGTTTCTTCTCTACAAGAGCATCATTTGTCTCCCCCTGCAGAGTTAGTTACGTATTGGCTCAATTATACATTTCTGTGTGCCAGAGCATACACAATATAGGTCTGTTAGGCAAAAAAATAACTTGATGGATTCACATGGTGCTACTTTGTACCTTAATGTTGATGAAAACTACTATAGGGTAATGGAATGGAGAAGGAAAGAGGGGCTAACAACAGATAAATGCCCTTAACTTTAAGTTTCTGCCTAAACTTATGCCTTTAAGTTTCTGCCACAAACTTAAGTTATGCCATAAACTTAGACATAGCCTTATAATTAAGAAATATATATATCAGTGGACTAACTGAGTGAAACAGAAAATAGAAACTATTTCACATTAAATCTTCAAATCAGATTACCTTTTCTACTGGTCTAAACAGGGGAAAGTGCTATTAACCTATTATGACAGTATATTAAGGACAATGCCAAGAGGAACACAAGGAAATTGGCATGTCCCCTTTGGCAACACTATTCTCCATGAAGAGATTGTTTCTCACTCAACTGTAAGCTTCCTGAGCAAAGGAAACAGGTATTATTCATCTTTTTATCCCCCTCAGTACTTAGAACAGCTTCAGGTAGGAGTAGGCCCTCGGTAATGGCTACTGAACTTATAATTAAAATTCTCTAAGAAACAAAGTTCTTATTCAAAATTAGCTACCAGATATACTGAGCACTTTTGAAGGTACTGCTGTATGTGGGAAGGGGAAGGAGCTTTACAGAAACAGTCAAGAATATGGTCTTGGATGAGCACTCTCCAAAAAAGTGAGAACTCAGATCCTACGTTTACCTAAAAAGTAAACTGAATTTGTGTACATGGAGGCTTAACATCACATACAGAGGGAAAACAAGGAAAAGATACCAGGTGGGATGAATAGGGATTGTCTGATGCAGCAAAGAACTACCTCGGAGAAGCAGAAAAAATGAAGAAATAGGATGGTTTTCTTTTGCTCATTTCAGCATAGGAACAGAACACAGTGGGCCAGAGCTTACTTGGGAGTCAAAGTACAACAGCACCATCATAAACCACTGACCTGGTTCACAGTATAACTACCACCATCACACCTTGGTTATCTCATTTGGACTGTTACTAAATGAGTTCTATTGCTCATAACCTACTAAAGGATTAGAAACCAGAGAATCAGAGCTTGTAGGGACTAGAGTTCACTTCACAGATTTTCAAACTGTTTTTAGCCTTGAGATGCTTTCTTCAAATATCTTACAAATGACCTCAATACATTAAAAAAAAAAAAATCTGTTTGCAGTAGAGGGCCTGGCACCCTGCTTGAGGCACCTTCCACAGAATCATCATGGATGCAAAATTAGAAAACGAGTGATGAGTCCAAACTCCTCAGTTGACAGAAACGTTAAACGCCTGCCCAGGCAGTGAATGAAAAAGCCAGAACTAGAATCCAGGAATGGCAACATCAGAGAGGGTTCTTCCCACTATATTTCATGCTGCTTCTAAAAGTCAAAGAAAGAGGATAGACTCCATACTTACCATCTTTGTTCAGCCACTGCTTTCTTGTTCTGTACAAAAGGAGTTTGTTGTGGACATACGGTAAAAGGAACTTGACACACCAGCTCTCCACGCCAAGTTTGTTTTCAACCAGGACTATGGGACTCCGATTATACCTAGCTTCAGGACATGGGATCAGGCCAATTTCATCTCTTAATATGTAAAACATAAAAAAGAATTAAAGATAAGAATACTAGCCTTTTCAAAAATTTTCATATCCTACAGAATATTAAAAAAACTGTACATATTTCCCTTTCTTAAAAATATTTAGCTCACCACTGGATTGGTAGAAATAATAATCTTTTAAAAGTTTGATAATACTGACAAGAGTATGGAAAAATTAGTATGCTGTACTTGCTGTTACAGGAATGAAAACTGGTCTAATCTTTGAATAGAAATTTGAAAATGTCTGTCAATTTTTAAAGTACATATACCCTTTGACCCAGTGATTCTACTGTTCAGAAATTATCCTGTGCCAAAATATATGAATTCATTGGATATTCATGGCAACAGTGCAACAATCTGGAAATACTCTGAATGTGTATCAAACAATATAAGACTGGTAAAATAAATGTGGTTCATCCATGTTATAGAGCTGAAAAAAAAATAATGAGGTAAATCTGCATAGGCTGGTATGGAAAGGGTGCCAACATACATAAAACAAAAAAAGCAAAATGCCAAATACAGTGTACAGCACAAAGCCCTTTGTATAATCTTTTTTTTTTTTTTAAGGGCAAAGTCCTAGTCTTTTTCTTTTCTCTTTTTTTTTTTTTTTTTGGCTATTCTGGGTCTTCATTGCGGTGTGTGGGCTCTTAGTTGTGGGCTTCTCTATAGTTGTTGTGTGTGGGCTCTAGAGCACATGGGTTTAGTTGTTTAGTTGCCCCACAGCATGTGGGATCTTAGTTCCCCCACCAGGGATCAAACCCACGTCCCCTGCATTGGAAGGCAGATTCTTAACCACTGGACCACCAGGGAAGTCCCTGTATAATCTTTTAAAAAGATATATAGATGCACTAAAAAATTTCTTGAAAGGATACCAAGAACCTTTTGGGGATTTATTTTTATACAGTTTAAATTTTCTAGTTACTTGTACATATTATTTATGATTATAAAAATGTCAAAAATGTATTTATGTTTGCCTGCTAATAAATATATGTAGACCAGATTATTAATAAACTTATATTATCAGTGAGACTATGGGCCATATTTTCTTTTCTTTTTTATAATTCTTTATACATTTCTAAAATAAAAAACATGTTAATATGTAAATATTGTTAAAATACAAAATACACTTCAGGATTTGACCATTTTCATCTGTGGTGGCTTCTATATCCCTTAATCCACCTCAACTTAAGTTGAAAATTTACATTACAGGCAAAAAATAGAACTACCATATGACCCAGCAATCCCACTACTAGGCATATATCCTGAGAAAACTGCAATTCAAAAAGATACAGGTACCACAATGTTCATTGCAGCACTATTTACAATAGCTGGAACATGGAAGCAACCTAAATGTCCATCGACAGATGAATGGATAAAGACAATGTGGTACATATATACAAGGAATATTACTCAGCCATAAAAAAGAATAAAATTAGGTCATTTGTAGAGATGTGGATGGACCTAGAGTCTGTCATACAGAGTGAAGTAAGTCAAAAAGAGAAAAACAAATATTGTATATTAATGCATACATGTGGAATCTAGAAAAAGGGTACAGATGAACCTATTTGCAGGGCAGGAATAGAAATGCAGATGTAGAGAATGGACAGGTGGACACAGTGGGGGAAGGGAAGGGTGGGATGAATTGGGAGATTAGGATTGACATATATACGCTACCATGTGTACAATAGATAGCTAGTGGGAACCTGCTGTAATAGCACAGGGAGTTCAGCTCGGTGCTCTCTGATGACCTAGATGGGTGGGATGGGGGTGGGGTGGGAGGGAGGTCCAAGAGGGAGGGGATATATGTACACACATAGCTGATCCACTTCGTTGTATCCACTCCAATAAAAAAAAAAAGAAAATTTACATTACAGGCAGAGATTTAATAAACAATACATAGGGCAGTTGACTTACACAGTAAATGAACCAGCAAACACAAAAATATTTTTGTAAAACCTGCACTCATTCCTTTCAACTACAAAGAATTTACAGTTCTTGTCTATGTGAAACATCCTTTCTCAAATAGTATGTTCTTCCATTAATTAATGAATAACTTACAAGAAACCTTTTAACAAGAGCAGTTGACATAAATATTTTTAGAGCGTCTAAGCAGATTTTTTTTAATGTGTTTTTAAAAAACAGAATAAAGAACTGGTTTTCAGAGCTTGTGTGTGACAGCATCTATTATGCCCTTGAATTCCCCTGCCAAGACAGTATGCTGGCTGACAAATGCAAAGAGGAAAACTGTTCAATTACAGGTTATAAGAAAAGCACTCTTTATCTGTTAGGCCACCATCACAAACTGGTGGGAGGCTGTGGAACTAAAATAAAATCCGTCCTGGAAACTCTAAACTGGATAGCTCAGAAGTAACCTACTTTCTACTGATTGCTTCATTAGTGACACAGGGATATATCAATAAAAGAGGGTATTCTAGGGGTTGCAAGTCACTAACTGTTCTTTTGAGCTGATTTAACGCCCAAGTAGACTTTGGGACCTAAGGCTTTTTGCCCCGACAACTGACTCAGTTGACTCAGGGGTGTTTTGATACACCATGCCAGTACTATCTAAACATTTCCTGAGTACTACAATGAATGGGATACTGTGTTAGGTTCTGAAAATGCAAAAATGAATAAAACAAGGTGGTCCCAGACTACACAAAGCTGATGGTTTTGCTGGGGAGTTGCGTCAATATCTAAAACAAAATGTTAACACTTTGCCACTCTAGTAAAATAAATGAAGTTCTTAGGAAGAATGGGGCAATGCTGAGAGAGCATCTGAGTCCAATGTCCAGTATTTCAAAATATATTTTTGTATTTGGTGATATGAATTCTAATCTAATTTAACACACTATTAGGACAACTAGCCACATCTAGATCTATAACTGACTAAATACATGTCTGAATTGCTGGTATTTTCTGGTGTTCAGGTATTACTATGTAAAACAATATTTTAAGAAAACTAGAATTATAGTTAAAAAATAATAAACTCAGTGTAATTATTTCAAGAAAGTCTGTTTTCTGAGATCTAACAACCACCTACAACACTACAAAGAACTGCAAAAGTCAACAATATGAATGTTAGAGTAACAAAAATAAAAGAATCCTAGCTTCTGAGTATAGTCCATTGTGGGGGGAGGACTTTTTACTTAAATTCACAATGTAAAAACCTGCCTTGCTCACTATTTACACCACACATAAAATGCCCAACTAATAATCTGGTACCTAAATGAAAGTACAGAACCATCTGCACAAATAAAAACACACTGCGTTAGTTGGCTATTATCCTTCCAAGAAATAATTTTAAAAAACAAGAATGCCTTGGATATAGCAGGTGCTCAATAACTGCTACTGGAACGCTGATTATCAATGCACTTCAGTGATAATATTCAAATAGTTTTCAAAGAATATCACTTCTTGACTCTCCAAAAGAACATTACCTCTGATTTCCTTCTAATGCAGTGGGTCCAAATCCTAGCTTTGTCAATATGATATAGATTATCTCTCTATATATGTATCGATATCTCTATCTCCTGCCACTTGGCCTCTGTAGACCTCAATTTCTTCATTTGTAAAATAGAGGAATTGCATTGCATTTCTAAATAAGGGAAATGGGCTGCTAGGTCTCATCCAGCTTTCAAATTTTATGACTGAGAAACCCAAAAGCTATTCTCATGTAAAGAGAATGAAAATGGTCATATCAGGGAATATGAAGCACTATGAAAAAAAAAGAAACATTAAAAGAGAGGTAGGAGGATGTAGAGACAAAAGCACTCAACCTTCTAAGGTCCAGGGTTCTAGTTAGTCTCTGTTCTACCAATGATCAATGTGAATTTGACTAGGCACTTGCCATCAGTATCCTCATCTGAAATGCAGAAATGACAATGCCTTCCCTGCCAGTCATGAAAAGCAAATAATACAATGTAAAGACCGTGGTAAGCTACAAAGTACCAGGCAGAGATGAAGTATATTACCATTAATTCAGTTAAGAGCCTGCGGTCAACCAGAAAAGTTCCTTGGTTAACAGATAATGGGAAGCTAAAGCGAAGAAAGTTAAGCCTTTGTCGAGTTATTTGACCCTAAGATACAATGCTTTGCTGCTTCCTAAAAATATAACATGTACTTCATAAAGGTAGGTCAGTAAGATTCCAAATAACAGTGTGTTTGACTTCAGATTTCTCCTATGCCTAGTCCCTTAGGTCATAGTCCACTTTTTTCCAGACAATTTAGAACAGAATTCCAGAATCATTTTGAAATTGGAAGGGACTTCATTCCTCCAGTCTCTCATTTTGTCAGATGAGGGAACTGAGATCCACTGAGGTTAAGGTGATTACTCAAGGTCATAGTGCTAGTGGCTTAATTCAAAATCTGGATCTCCTACTATTTAGCCCAAAACCCTTGACACTAATGAAAATAAAGACATCAGTGAAAGCAAGCAGGCTTTAGATTAACTCCTTTTAGTGTTCTAGCAAGATTTCTGGCTATTTAAATTCTAATTTCATACCCAAAGTTGGAAAATTCAGGGAAAAAAAACTAAAAGTCATTTGTCATCCCTCTACCACCACTAATGTTGGGTATGCATCCTTTTTTTCTAAGTAGTTTACAAAAGTGGGATTATGTTGGACATACTCTTCTATAATCCTTTTTAAAATTTTATTTATTTATTTATTTGGCTGTGCCCCATGGCATGTAGGATCTTAGTTTCCCGACCAGGGATGGAACCCGTGCCCCCTGTGCTAGAAGCACGCAATCTTAACCACTGGACTGCCAGGGAAGCCCCTATAATTCTTTTTTTTTTTAATTTAACAATTCACATTAAACATTTTCTTATATAATTTTTGTATCATTCATGGGTACAATGAATGTGCTATAAACATCAAATACATCTCCAGTTATTTCCTTATGAAATAGTCTCCTAAGAGAAATTTCTGACTCTTTCACTACCACCACATTCCATTCTTCTTTATTTTTAGGTTTCTGGCAAATTTAGATTCCTGGTGCTTAACCAGGATACTCAAGTAAATATCAGCATTAACAAGGTCATGGGTTTTTACAAACATGAAAATTTGAGACAGCGATCAAGTTCCAATCTTTTCAACGAGAAACCACAGTGCTCACTTTGTAGGTTACCTTTGAAGGCTGCTCCAAAGGAATAGCAACATGGAATGAACCTACATATTTACTTAAAAAGATCATCCACAGCATGGTATATCTCCCTTAGCGCTTCACTTCACAATGGGGATCCACTAACTTCTAGATGAAGTTCAAGGTTCATACAGCACTGATACTGACCTTGTTCCTCATGTTTAGACAGCTTCTCTTGTCTGTACTTTTCAGAAACATCAGTCTAACTGGAGTCGGTCCACTTATTTACAAAAGTAATATTGACCAGCTTCCTGTCGGGGAGGTAAGGATGGTCCCCAAATATTAAAACTGAACCCTGTAATGTGGAGTGACTGAAGAGAAAACAGCCCAAGATTCGGCAAATGGTACAAATCTTTTTAATCTAACAGTTATTTTTTTCCTTCAAACTGGAATTCTTTCCAGAATGACCAAAAAGTTAGAAAAGTATCTAAAAGAACTGACCCTTGCATATTGTTAACTAAAACTTTACTGGTGATTAAGAAATTTTAGAGACCTCATAAGCTTTCTCAATTCTAAAGATTACTATCACTGAAATTATATTACTGACCCTATTTAGAAAACAGATACACAAATTACTATTGTTTACTGAGTGTTTATTATATGCAATGCTCTGTTTTAGGTTTTACATACACTATTTCATTTATTCCACACATTAATCTTATAAAGTAGGAATTTTAATTCCATTTTATAGATGAGGAAAAAGTCTTGTCTGAGACTACTCAGCTAGTAAATAACAAGCCAAGGTTCAAATCCAGTACTGTGAGACTGCAAACCCAAACTTTTACAAGTATACTATTGTTCAAATAAATAGATAAAAATCAAGTGTAAGAAGTCAATTAAGATTCTATGCTTTCCTATTCTTCAGTTCAACTTGCAGACGATCTGAAACTGCCTTTCATTACTACTGCCTTACTCAAAAATTCTCACTGGGGCCTACCCACTGCCTAAGAAGTATATTTTCCCTGAGCCAGCTCTTATCCAAGCCTCATGTCTCAATTTAATTGCTATTTCCTCAGGAAAACTATCTTGACCTTCCATCCTAAATTAGTCCTCTCTGTTATTATTCTTTCAAACTATCCTTCTTATCCTTTGGGGCTCTTTTCATAATTTGTGTGTTGATTTGTTTAAAGTTCCACTGGGCAGGGACCAAGTGTGGTGTGTTCATCAATCTATACCCCAATCCTAGCCCCATATACCTAGAGACCAGCATTGTATCTATCAAATAGAAACATTCTTTTGCTGAATGCACCGATGGAATGAATGAAATTAAGTCAGATAGTCAAGGACTTCCATAATCTGTCCCTACTTTATCTTTTCAATCACATTTTGTGAATTTAGTCCATTCACTGCTTCTTGTAGAGGTCTCCAAGACTGTAAATCCTACCTTGCCTTCAAAGTGCCACTCAAAAACCCACCTCCCCTAAAAGCACTAGCCCAGACATACCCAGCTTCCCTTTCAACTACTAATAGACTCACGTATGACTTGCTTACCATACTGCTAGTCCAGCCCTTATTATAAACGGCTTTGCAGGGTAAATGCACTGTTCATACATACAAGTCTTAGGTCTCCACCTAGACCTGCACTGTGCAATACAGTGGTCACCAGGCATATGTGTCCATTATGTATAAATCAATTAAAATTAAATAAAACTTCAAATTTAGATCTTTTTTCGCACTAGCCACATTTCAAGCACTCAATAGCTATATATGGCTAGTGGTTACCATTTGGACAGGACAGATAAAGAACATTTCCAACATCACAGATATTTCTGAGGGCCTTGAGTACAAGAACTGTATTTTATACTTCTTCCTATTCCATACTGTGAAGATGGTAGCTACATAAACAGTGAGAGTTCAATAAATATTACAGAGTAATAAAAAATAATAACTTTCTGGATAAGAGAACTTTGACATGACCCTAATTACACTGTAAACAGCTGTCCTCCACACTAGCACAGCATCTGTACATTAAGCTAATACCTGTCGCTGGGTCAAGCCTTCAGTTATTTTTCCAAAGTATTCTCTAGGAGTCAACCACACAAACAACATTTGCATGGTATTTTTCAGTTTATAAAGTGCTTCACATTCATCATTCAGTTGGCCAATATATTTCCTAAGGAACACAGGGATTCAGGTTAAGTCTACTATTTACCTAGTGGCAACTAAGTGCAAGACACTGTGTGAGGTGATTTTCCTATGTTTTCATCAGCCTCTAGAGCCCATGCTCTGCAACAAAGAATAGCCCCCGCTCACCACAACTAGAGAAAGCCTGCGCGCAGCCTGCGAAGACCCAACGCAGTCAAAAATAAATAAATTAAATAAATTAATTTAAAAAAAAAAAGAGAGAGAAAGCAGAAACAGGCTGAGAAAGGGTAACCTATCCATACCCACCAGTAACAAAATCCACATTTCACCCATTATATCTCCAACTCCTACTGGCTAGAAATTTCCAGAGACAAAGTCAATATATTTACTGTAGTAGATGCTGGCTAATAAAATTATGATCTATCTTGTATTTGTAGAAAAGAGGAAAACAAAAAGAATAAAAAACTTTCTTTTATAATACTGAAAAGTGTAATTAGGTACTAACTTTGAAGGTAAATGATGCCTTTTTCTTTTAACTAGAAATAAAGCATATGTATTTTGGAAGTAAAAGGGTTAGATGAGGGGAGGAAGTATGAGCGATTTTGAAAAGTCCAAATTATAAGACATTTTAAAAGACGCATTGTAATATTACTGGAGATATTGCTACTGTAGGGAATATGTACTAAAATATAGCTGAAGATTAATATTAAACAATGAGTTAAACTATTTAAAATTTTCAGATCTATATCATTATTTCATATTTTTTCAAATGCTCAAATTATTTCAAACTTTAAAAAATACTGAATGACCCAAATGTTTATTAATAATTATAAGTTATGCACTGGCACAGAGCACATTGATGAGATCTCATAAAAAATGCGATTGGGGGGGCATTAAAGTCCTTTATGAGTTTCAATAAATATGATCCAGAAGAACTGGGATGTGTTCCAAACTGCACTGTGTCAACCTGCCAGGCCAATGAACACTCAAACTTAAGTTTTTTTCAAATATGAAATACTGATGCTTTTCTAGTCTACTTCAAAGAAGACAAACTAAGATGATTACTGTACTTATTAGACTTCTTTATAACCTCCTCAATTTCTTTAAGAAAAATAACCCCAAATGATGAGAAAATAGTCATTTCATTTGTCCAACTTTTTTTTTTTTTTTGAGAATGTCTCTTATTTGCACTAAAGCTCTCATTCTCAAAAGGGGACTGAAAGACTGATATACAACAAGGCATCAAAGCATTCTTTAGAAGGCCCAGTGCCCACTATGGTTACTGCCAGGAAATCATTCCAAACACTCTCATTCTGAAAAAGGCAGCAGTCACAAGGGGAAAGGAAGTGGACGCTGTCAGAGGTGGCAGGTGTGTTTTGAGGCCAGCAGTGTCTTGTTTTTAATGAGGCACAGTTGCAGGTCTCCAACTGTGTGCCACGAGGGAGCAAGACATTTGAGGGCATCACCTTGAAGGAAAAGAACACTGCATTTAGATGAAGGTTTGGCACCTCTTTTCAGCGGAAAAGCTTAAGGAGTTAGAATGCTTAAAAAGAATAATTCATGCGTTCCAGTTGAAAGAATAAAATATTTTTTAAAAAAACAAAACTCCATAAGCAATTAGGTAAAGTGAAAACAATGTAAAACTGGATTCCATGTTTCTTTCTCTTGAGGGAAGGAGGGATGAAGGGAGGATGGATAGGAAAATAGCTACACTCTTGCTTCTTCCTTACTCTTTTGTACAATGTGTAGATATATCTCTTCTTTAATAGCTTCTTTTTCGTTACATAAAAGCAGAAGTATCAGACAGAATACAGTCTCTTACCGGATCTTCCCGGAGTACTCCAAGTAAAATGGAAAGGAAGGAGGGAAAGATACATGTGTCAGTTCTGTGGTGTCCTACTTAAAGAGGGCAGCAGCGTTTGAATAAAAAAACAATTAATATGCTCCCTGTAACTATGAATCAGCTAATGCTAAAAAGTGTCGAGGTTTCATCTGCTTCCCACCAGACCCAACCTGTGTCTACAGAAGCTACTCTCTTGAGAATGCCCTGTTCACCTTCAAAACAAAATGTTTCATCGAAGTTCCTCTACAATTTTGGGACAGGTGAGGCGAAAGTCAAAAGCAGCCTCAAGCTACCTTCGGCTAGTAAACTAAGGGGGTTTTGGCCCATGGAGAATAAGATGATCAGTAACCCCTTCTTACCAAGGTCCGGGATGAACCTCAAAAGAGTTGTGTTAACAAAGCACATACAGACCCACACCGTGTACCTTAAACGGATGTGGGACGTGGACACACGGGTGAAGTCTTTCGAGTTTCGTGAACTCCTGGGAAAGGGGTGGGAGGGAGGTCACTTCTAAGGACTCGCCCGAGAGCTTGTTCCGGTAGCGGAAAGCTGGCCCCGCGGCGGCCGACAACTATCGGGCCCCGACCCAGCTGCGTCGGCTCTTGTGAGCAGCGCAGCGGGTCAAGACCTGCAGTCCGAGGTCGGCTCGAGGCTTGGCCCCGCCCCCTCCCGCCCCCGACGACCCCCGGAGGCGGCGGAGGCGGGGGCACCGCCGGCGCGCGACTCACATGTGCGGGTTCCTCCGGAAGGCGTTGGTGATGTCCTTCACCACCCGCTGCACCAGCACCGCCACCTCCTCGCTCGTCTCGGCCATGTTGGCGGCGTCCGCGGCGGCTCGGGAGCGCCTCCGGGAGAGCGCCGAGCCACCCGCGGGAGTTCCCGGGGAGCGCGCGCGTGAGCGCCGGTTTGGCCGCGCCCCTGCCCCCGCCGTGGAGGCCGCCGCCGAGCACTTCCGGGTCAGCCCGCGGTCGGCTGGTGTGTGGTCCCTGACGAGGCTGAGGCTGGCAGCGTGGTCCCTGACTTCCTCTCGTAAGAGAGTTTCTAAGCGCTCGAGAAGATGCTGCAGACTCATTTGCAGTTACCTCAGGTTGCTGTATTACACTTTTTATTTTAGTTTCTGGTCTACTGGGGACCGAGGAGGGAGGGGTCCTAAGGTCACTCCCAGAGCTAGGGTCTGGCCTGAATACCCTGCCCAGAGCACCCGTCCTCAGCTGTTCTGGAAAGGAGCCAGTCCCAGAATGCTCCTGGAGGAAAGTTTAACCGAGAGTGAAGATCTTCTTAAGCAGTTAGTCCCTTGGCGTTCTGAGAGCTTGTTCCCTGTATTTTCTTAGTTGGAGGGATGAGGCCGTCCAGAGACACCCTTGGCGGAATGAGGCCCAGTCGGACCGTATTGGTGACTTCAAGCTTTTGTACCTGCGTGCCAATTTCGGCCACTAAGCAGATGCTTTCAAAAAGTTAATTTAAAAAATTTAATAAATGGATTAAAGGAAGAAAAAGGAAAGGAAAGGAAAAGTTATTTGCTCTCTCCATATAGGGAGTAGAAGTACAGAGGTATTTTTTAGATTTTCTACATCGAGTGTACCTTGCTTTGCACGTCACTTGGTGTCCTATGAACGTTGCCTGTTAGTTTTGGAGTTAAAAAACCAAGTCCCTGGCAAGGTTTGCTCTTAATAGCTATTTGCCTTGCTACAAATAATTTTTATAAGAAAAACTGGCTTTCTAGTCCATTTGGATTTTGAAATGCTGTAATTCAAATTTTCATGTATCAAATTTTCTTTCAACCTCTGTGTTAGAAAAAATCCAGCTGCTTTTGTTTCTTTTTTACTTAATCCTTGAAGTCTTTTAGAAACTTTTTTTTTTAAAGCAAACTCAATGTTTAATGTAAACATATGTAGAACATTTGAAGTAGGGTTGATGATTGTGAGAGTAAAAACCATCCACTGGATGCAAAATTATAAAGCAGTGAATGAGAAATATAAATTATATTCAGTGGTCGATACTCCTATGGGCACGTTTAGAAAGGCTACACCTGCTGTATGGACTTTGGCCTTCTGGTTTTAAAAGAAATGAGCTAGAAGTTTCATAAAATTATAGAAAAGCAAGATGGACAGGTTTGATTTAGTAAAGTCAAACAAACCTTAACATATTGACAAGTTCTCAAATGAGTCAGTGGAGTGAATTTGTGTTTAGATTCCAGGGCCAAAGACAACTTCAAATGTCCTAATTACTCTTAAAATGTAGTCAGTTCTGAAATGGTTTGAGTTCACTGATAAGTCTTCTTCCTATTCTATTAATCAGAGCCTTGCATCCTTTCCTGATAAAAGTGGGAAATAAATCCTGACTTCTGGGGCAGAGCTTAAAGGACACACTCAGAAATATGACATTTTTTTCAAAGAATTTATTTTTATCTTAAAAATTAGTGTGATTTTTGTATTTCACTCTAATATATTTAACAGGAAAAACAACAGCAACAGCAAACTTTATTCCCAAATCTTGAAGTGAAATTGATGTTCCAGGAAGATAACATCCTATATGATTCGGTGTGTCCCCTTCCAACACACACACACACACAGACACACACACACACACACACACACACACACACTACCTTCATTTGAAAGGTGTGAATTATATGTCTCATGTTTCTTCTAAGAATTCATAAATTGTTTCACCCAATTATTAAAGATCTGCTATGTTTAGAACTTGAATTTTTTATAGTTAGAGCATACTAGGACTGTGACCCAATCCCCTTATTTTGCTGATAAGGAAGCTGAGGTTCAAAGGAGAATTGAAATTCATGTGACTTTAATAATGATATGTTTATAAGAATAGGATATGATGAATTTAGCATGATTTTGTTGAAGAATTCAAAGATTTATGTTCAGGGATCTGCAAAATACACTTACTAATAATGAAATATTTTAAATAGCTTAAATGCCCAACTTTGGGGATTGATTAAATTACAGTAAATCTATATGATAAAATACTGTTTAGTCGTTTAAAAGCTCATTGTAACTAGGAGAATATGTAGCAAATGCTTAGGAGGAAGTATATTTATAGGAGAATTTTATTTTCTAAGTAACACGAAGAACAAAATAAAATTTTTGTAATATAAGAAGTTTTTTAAAGTATATGTTAATAAAAACATGGATATATTTATTTGTTAATTAGCCAACTCTTATGCATAATAATTTTCTTAGAGATTGATTTTTAAGCAACCATAACTCGCTTAAAATTTAATCTCCCCAAAATCATTCCTTTCATATTTTAGAAGACTATTTGATGATGGAGGAAAAGGTAGATATATAATGACAAAAACAAGTACCAAAACAGCATACAAGACAATTATATATGTAATCCAGAAGGACCCCATGGGGCCTTCCCAGGACAGGCCTTCCCCCATATCCTCTGCTTTAGCTCCTCTATGAAGTACCTAGATAGTAGTATTTGATGCAAATTTCCTGAGTTGTTTTCCAGATGTGAACATCCCCCCACCCCCCTCACCAAATGGAAGAAACTACTTGACCTTGAGCACATAGCCCCAGGCCTCCTGGAGCTTAAGGACTGATAATGTTAACCCTTGTGACACCACCCTGCTACCTCACCGTCAGCCAATCAGAGAACTATGCATAAGCTGATCACATACCCTGCAACCCCCCCTCCCTCACCTGGCTTTTAAAAGTGCTTTGCAGAAACCCTTTGGGGAGCTCAGGGCTTTTTAGGGCCTGAGCCACCTCATCTCCTTGCATGGCCTTGCAGTAAACCTTTCTCTGCTCCACACTCCGAAGTTTCAGTTTGTTTGGCCTCACTATGCATTGAGCACAAGAACTTGCATTAACATATATATATGTTGACAAAAAATTATTCAATAGTTGATCTAAGAAAGAAATGGAAAATTTTATTCAAGCCAACCTGAGGATTATAACCCAGGAGATAGTCTTTCAGGAAGCTCTGAGAACTGTTCCACTTATTAGAGTTCAATGCACAGTTATATAAGTTTTTGAGACAAGGTGTGATACGTCAAATAATGTATCATTGACAGTTTACACAATCCAGATCTACACATAAAAAGCGAGTAGTGGTCATGGGTTATCATGGCCCCTTACAATATTAAGAAGGAAGGTTATTTTCTTTCTGAAGGAGTTGTGACTGTTTGTGAGGTTAAGAAGGAACATTATCTCCTAAGGAGGTCTGGCTAACACAAATTCACAACACATGCTAAAGGGGAGGGAGGAAGCCCAACCAGGCAAAGAAAAATTTTATGTTTAAACTTTTCTCATCTTGCCATAAAAAATGAATTTTATTTCATCATATACAAAACAAATTGTACATAATATAAATATAATTATATATATAAGTATTAGACTGGGATGGTATAAACTAAAATGTTAACAATGGTTATCTCCATATGATAGAACTACTAGAGATAATTAAGACCTATAAATATACATTCTTTATATTACTCTGGTTGTTCCAGACTTTCTACAATGAAAAACCTAATGTATGTGTTGAGGGCGCTGGTGGTTTTAATGACAGACCTAGTACAGTTGACTCTTGAACAACATGAGAATTTGGGGAGCTGACCCTCCACACAGTCAAAAATCTGAGTATAATTTACAGTAAGCCCTCCATATCCCTGGTTCCAATTCCTCCTTTTCTGTGGTTCAGTATCTGGGGATTCAGCCAAACCTGGATCACAGTACTGTAGTATTTACTATTGAAAAAAAAATTTGTGTATAAGTGGACCTGTACAGTTTAAACTCTTGTTGTAAAATGGTACAGATGAACCTGTTTGCAGGCTGAAATAGAGACACAGATGTTGAGAAAAAACGTATGGACACCAAGGGGGGAAAGCGGGGTGGGGTGGTGGGATGAATTGGGAGGTTGAGATTGATATCTATACACTAATATGTATAAAATAGATAACTAATAAGAACCTGCTGTATAAAAAATAAAATAAAATTCAAATAAAATCAATAAACGGCAAAAAAAAAAACTTATTTTTCAAGGGTCAACTGTAATTACCTTTGTGCAGAGTTGTAGATGACCTTATAATCTGTTTTCATCTTTGCTCTGTATTATCACTTTTATCACTATGATGTGTCATTTATTTACTCCATTATTTGGATTGAAGTCCATTTTACTATGGTAACATTATGCAAGATAGAGTGTAAATAGTACTAAACGTGTTTTTACCATGTGCTATTATTACAAAAACAAGTTTATTTCCTCCATTAAAATAATTAAGTGCTCAATTTTAAGTGCTTCATTATAATATTACCATTGTGACTAAATATATACTTATAGTATACCAAACCTCAACCTTAATCACTCCTAAAATTTAAAATCAAAGAACTTACAAAGAAATAGGAGAAGGGAAATATAATACTAGTCAAGAAGTCACAATATCAATGTCTTTTTATGAATTCTTAAGAAAAATCAGTAGGAGTAATGTTATCTGTAAAGTTTTTATTAAAAACCATTTCAAGAAAAGGAATAGAAATTAATAAATGAATTTAAAGAGACATGTACATTAAACTTAGGGGAGTTTTGGTATACATCTTGCCTCAGTGTGTGTAGGTTTATTTTCCCAAATACAAAACTTCATGTATGATCAAGAACTATTTTTTTTAAAGTCACAAAATCATGAATTGCAAATGACATCTATTCTTGTACTTAGTTGATATATCTAGTACTTCATTATTCTTTTCTATTGTTACTATTTATTTATAATTAAAGTATCATTGATTTACAATATTGTGTTAGTTTTGGGTGTACAGGAAAGTGATTCAGTTATATATATATACACACATATATATATTTTTTTCAGATTATTTTCCATTATAGGTTATTATAAGATATTGAATATTGTTCCCTGTAATACTTCACTATTATAATTGTTGAGATAAAGATAAGAAAATGCATGTGATAGCACCTTTAAACTGGGAAGCACTATACAAATTATTACTTATTTCTATGAGTTGACACAACATCATTACAGGTAAATCAGTATTAAAACACAATAGTAAAATAAGATGAAGCTTAATACTAACTTTCAAAATGAAACTCTATTGTTTAATATTCTAAAGAGAATTATACTGCTATTACAATTAATTTCCCAATCAAAACATGAACTTTTTTTAACCAGACAAAGTAGGTAAATGTTATAAAGATGCTTATCATGACAGTGACTTTAAATGATCAGTTAGTACTGATGTTGGAATCCATGATGATAGAGGAATGAAGATACTAGTTGCATAATATGGTTTTTGTTGCTGAGTAACTGGTTTATTTTTCTTGACATTTGATAGTTCCAAACTGTCATCCTTTTCCTTTATCCTCTTCTCCCTACCACAGAGGCCCAGGAAACCCATGATGTAATCTTCAGAAAAGAACAGGAGAAAATGTCTGGAGAGAAAAAGAGCCAATCCAGGCCTTGCATGTGGAAACAGCTAGGGAGATGGGTATGTCTCTATGATGGATTCAATGTTTCTCATGTACTGAAGATGTCAAATTTTTCTAGGAATTTCTTAGTAATATGCAATTTAGTGGATGACTAAGGGAAAGAAGTATCCTAATATGAGTACATTCTTAAGGAGTTATTTTTTTGCTTTGCGTTTTTCTTATTCTTCAGTGTAAATATGACAATCATGTAATAGACTTAGGTTAAAAAATCATAACTGAAAATTTAGGAAAGTAGTAAAAGCTTCATTTTTACTACCAAAGAGGTTTAGTTGAGACTTCTTCGGTAACTGCCTAAAAGTAAGACAGAGCTATATCTCCTCTTCTTTCATCTCACTTCTTAAGCTAATTTTTCAACTCAGAAATTTTATAATAAAAATATACCATATTTCTTAGTTTATTCCTATTTCCATGTTTTAAGCCACCTCTGACACTTATCAAAATTAACAACAGGCCAAAATCACCCATAGGAAATGATGAACTTTCTTTGTTAAATGTTGAATTATGCCCTAACTTGTAGTATAGTATTTATAGAGACTGACAGTCTGAGTTTTAGGAAGGAATGCCAAAGAGTAACTCCCCAATTAACATCTTCTGGCTTTAGGCACTTGAATTTCTATGGTAAGTCTGCAAAATCACCATTAGTGTGCAAAAAAGAACAGTGCAAAATGTTGTGTATTGGGTTCATAGGAGGAGAAGGTTAAATACCACCTCTGAGGGATGAAACTCCAAGTAATTGTACTTATTTATTCCACAAATTTTAATGAATGTTACTGTGTTTAAGACATTGTGCTTGCTGCTAGGTATACGGTGGTGAGAAAAACAGACATTATTCTTGCCTTCTTGTAGGACTTACCATCTAATGGAAGAGATACACAATATTCAAGTAAACAGAAAAATGTATAATGAAAAATTGTAATACATGGCACAAAAGGTAAAAGCAAGGCACCAGGCTAGATGATAACAGTGTGGAGTAAGAGCAGAGCTTTAGACAGTGTGGTCAGGGAAACCTATTCCAGGTTGTGATATTTAAGCTGAGACCTGAAAGATAAGAAGGAACCAGCCCTGTGAAAAGCAGGGGAAGAGCCTCATCACTAGTGGAAACAGTATGTGTGAAGTCCTTAAGAAGAAGAGAGTTTACATAGCATGTCTCAGAAATTGAAAGAAGGCCAAGCTAATAACTTTTACTGACCTGAAAGTGTTTGTAAAGTGATTTCAGATTTAGTATTGCTTTCACCTGGATGTCAGCTATGAGCATGATTGCTTAGTTCCAATTTTTCTTACTTTCTGTATCCTCTTTTTTCTTTTTTGTACCACACTGAACAGCTCACCAAGGACAGCTCATGTCACATGGTTACATGGTGTCCCGTGGTCAGGTATTTAGTCATGAAGCCCAGTAGCAAACCCAGAACTGTTTCTCAAAAGGCTAATATTTATCAATAGTAGAGGACAGGCTTTTTTCCAAAACCCTAAGAGTGTTGCCATGACATTTAAAAAAAAATTTTTGCTACCACTGGATCTTCTCGGTCATATGGCCCCAAATCAGCTTGCATGGAAGCTCTGGGATCCACTCAGAACTATGAGTTACTCAGTCAATTATTCCAACTAGAACATTTGAATAGACTACATATTGCCTCCTGAATCTAAAGTGGCCCATGTGTCTCTCAGTGGTAGAGTGTACAAGATGAAGCAACTTGTCCTTCACGTTGATAGAAATATTGTGACATGCCTGACATGCCCCAGACTACTGGACTCTTAGAAGTTTCACTATCATGACAGGCCCCTGAATGTTTTAAGAACTTATCTAGCATCCTCTGTCATGTATGTGTTTTGCCAAGGCATGTAGCATATTTGTTACTACACATGAAGTCAAATACCTAAAAGGAAAAAAGGACTAAAGCTCTCATTATATACTCAAGACTCTTGTATTTTTTCCTTGTAGCATATATTAAATGCAATTAACAGTTGTCTAATTAGTTCAATATCTTTATCATTCTATAGAATGTAACTCCACAAGGGCTAGAACCCTATTTTTCCTGTTCAGTGTTGTGTATCTGTACCTTGCCTTGCATATAATGGGCTCTCAATTAATATGTAAATGTATGGATAGATGAATGAAAGAAAAGAAATGGAAAAAAATAAGAAAGGATAGAATAGCCAACATGTAGCATAGATAAAGAAGCTGTAGAGGAACTCACCTAGGAATTTAGTTAGAGGCTGAATCGTGAGGAAACTTGAGACCATATTTTGGCAGTTGAAATTTTTCTGAAAGGGTTGCAGGGAGCCGTTGAAGGGGTTTATGCTTCTCTGTTGAAATCCACCCATTTTTCAAGGGTGCTCTCCTTACTTTATACTATGTTTAGTTATGCATACATACGTAAATTGAGCACACACATGTATCTATACATACACAGTTCTTAGTTTTATCACATAATAAAATGAGGGAATCCATTTCATCTTTGTTTTCCTAGTACCTGGCATATTACCTGAACATAGTAAGCACTTCAGCATTTGTCAAATGAACAAATAAAGGCCCAGTTCAAATGCCACTTCTCTACTTTAATTAAATTACCTCTTAGAATTAACTCATTTACAGGAACAGTTATGCTATCTGACCCCCTTAAAAATCTCAGTGTGCTGTGGACCTGCACTTAGGGTAAAGAGGTCTATGGCATAGGTTTGCATAATTACTCTTATTTAAACAGGTTATTTTATTAAAGAGTTTATTTTATTTACACAGTAAGTTATTAAACAGTATTAATTATTTACCAGTATTTTATTTTATTTTATTTACAAAGATATTATATAACTATTGACTATACTCCCCACATTGTACATTTCATACTCGTGACTTTTTTTTTTTCAGTTCATGGCAGTTTATTTAATTTAAAAATAAAAACAGAAACAATAAAACAAAACAAAAATCAGTTTCCAATGAAAATACAAACACTTTGGGTGGTTATCCAGCTTTTTTTTTTCCCTGTAGGCTATCCTGGGCTCAAACCAATCAAATGAATGAAAACCAGTTTTGATTGGAGCCATAAAGCATGTTGCACCAATTAAATTACACCAATATATTATTATAATATGTTTGAAATGCCTTTCAGACCAATAAATAAAAAAGACAAATTCAAATTAAAAAGTCAACTTTTTATTACCAAAAAAAAAAAGAAATTAAAGTCACAACACAGATTAAAAAAAAAAGTGCAGTCAGGTTTCTCTTTTTTTCTTCATTTATTTTGTAACTGCAAGTTTGTACTTCTTAATGTCCCTCACTTATTTCCCTCCTCCCCCCACCCTTCTCCCCTCTGGTAAACACCTGTTTGTTCTCTGTATCTATGACATTGATTCTGTTTGGTTGTGTTTGTTCATTTGTTTTTTAAATTCCACATGTAAGTGAAATCATATGGTATTTGTCTTTCTCTGTCTGACTTATTTCACTTAGCACAATACCTCTAGGGCTATCCATGTCGTCACAAGTGGCAAGATTTCATTCTTTTTTATGGCTGAGTAATATTCCATTGTGAATATATACCACATCTTCTTTATCCATTCATCTATTGTTGGGCACTTGGGTTGCTTCCATATCTTGGCTATTGTAAATAAGGCTGCAATGAACATAGAAGTACATATATCCTTTCTAATTAGTGTTTTTGTTTTCTTTGGATAAATACCCGGGAGTAGAATTGCTGCATTGTATGGTAGTTCTATTTTTAGTTTTTTGAGGAATCTCCATACTGTTCTCCATAGTGGCTGCACCAGTTTACATTCCCACCAACAGTGCATGAGGGTTCCCTGTTTTCCACATCCTTGCCAACACTTATTTGTTGTCTTTTTGACAATAGCCATTCTGACAGGTGTGAGGTAGTATCTCATTGTAGTTTTGATTTGCACTTGGGGGTGGGGCTGGGTCCTGCGTCCTCTGGTGGATGGTGCCAAGTCCCAGGGTGGCTGGAACCTTGGGGGGTCCTATAGCAGCCAGCCTACTGGTTGGTGGGGTTGTGTTCCCACCCAGCTAGCTTCCTGGCCCGGGGTGTCCCAGGACTGGTGCCCACCAGCTAGTGGGCAGGACTAGGTCCCAGCACTAATAAGCTAGAGGGAGGGTTCCAAAATGGCACTTACCAGCACCAGTGTACTTGTGGTGGGATGAGCTCCCTAAAAATGGCTGCTGCCAGCATCCATGTCCCTAGAGTGAGTTTCAGCTGCCTTCTTCCTCTCCCAGAGGCTCTCCAAGATCAAGAAGTGGGTCTGACCCAGGCTGCCTTCAAATTACTGCTTATGCCCTTGGTCTTGAAGCATGTGAGATTTGTGTGTGCCCTTTAAGAGTGGAGTCTAGGGCTTCCCTGGTGGCGCGGTGGTTGAGAGTCCGCCTGCCGATGCAGGGGACACGGATTCGTGCCCCGGTCCGGGAAGATCCCACATGCCGCAGAGCAGCTGGGCCCGTGAGCCATGGCCGCTGAGCCTGCGCTTCCGGAGCCTGTGCTCCGCAACGGGAGAGGCCACAACAGTGAGAGGCCCGCTTACCGCAAAAAAAAAAAAAAAAAAGAGTGGAGTCTATTTCTCATAGTCTTCTGGCTCTCCCCAAATCAAGCCTCACCGGCCTTCAAAGCCAAATGTTCTGGGGGCTCATCTTGCTATGTAGGACCTTGGGTCTGGGGAGCTCCTGATGTAGGGCTCAGACCCCTCACTCCTTGGGGAGAACCTCTGCAATTGTAATTATTCTCACATTTACGGGTTGCTCACCTGGGGGGTCTGGGTCTTGATTATACCATGTCTTTGCCCCTCCTACCCATTTCATGTGGTTCCTTCTTTATATTCTTAGAGAGATCTTCTTTATATTCTTGAGAAATCTTTTCTGATGGTTTTCAGGTCCCTCTCATGGATAATTGCTCGGTAAATAGTTGCAAATTTGGTGTGCCTGTGAGAGGAGATGAGCTCAGGGTCTTCCTACTCCACCACCTTGGTCACTCCCCCAAGATGTTTCATTCTTAACATGGGATCA